AGATCTAATCAGCAAGAATGATTTTGAGACTCTTCACTCTTATGATCAGGTAATTACTGACAATCTATTACCTTAATGTACCTGACTTATCATTTGTGTTTATGCAAACTACATACGCGTAATTTATGAGTGGAGATATTCATTTGCTTCATGTGACCCTCAGCTCAAGAGGCAGATCGATGGGAAGGCTGTGTTTGTCGGCTTTGAGGAAGGAGAAATTGATTTCCAGCCCACCTACAAATATGACACCGGCTCCGACAAATGGGATACCAGGTATTTCTGACTCACTTTTTTATCTTTATGAATCTATATTTTCAATAGTTTAGTGTTTGTATAATAAAAGATTAAAGACTTAGAGAGAGATCAGTAGAACATAAACTATTCAATTTATCCTGGAAACATGTCTCACCTCCATTTCATTCGATTCTTTGAACTTTTTAGTCTTTAGAGGCTTCTTACATCATCCTACTTTATGCAGGATCTCCATGTGGTTTTGAGTGTTCACAAAGAGATCCACTTGTTGATCCATTGCTTATTCAGCATTATTATTTCATCAGAAAACTGGCAAAGTCCAATTTGCTCTGATGTCCTTGTTATATTAATTTGATCTGCCAGAATACACTGTTTATAAACAGTATCTATAAATATGCCTTGACCACTAGGTATCACTAAATATCACTAACACAGTATCATTTCAGTGCTTATTTTACAATAATAAATCGTAAAATAAAATCCCTAATTTATGTGTTTTACCACAAGTAATAAGATAGACCAATTTGCAAATATTGTCAATTTTATTCCTTTGATTTAAGTGAAAAATGCCGCATCCCTGCATGGTGCGACCGTATCTTGTGGAAAGGGAAGAACATTCAGCTAGAGCATTACAAGAGCCATATGGATGTAAGGACCAGTGACCACAAACCTGTCAGCTCTTTGCTCGTCATCGGGGTAAATGCTTCAGTCTTCTAATAAATTTCATGTTTAATTCATTGTCTTTGGTTTGGACAAGATACATTAACCTCAATATTTGACAAGCATGTAAAATGACTTTAAGATTTTGCCTTGTCCTTCAAACTCTTATGTTTGAATTTAGTTTCTTTCTGAAGAGGATATATTAAAAAAGACATCACTCAGCTGAAAAGTACCAAAGAGAGTTAAGGTTAAGAGGCAGCAGTTCATAAATACTATGATGTACAAATGCAGTTGTTGCAATTACATTTTAAGGAGAGTCATGTAATAAAAGTTTCAAAAGTACTGACCTGCTTAGATTGCTTATTATTCTCTTTGATATTTTTTTAATTACGAAGGCTACTCTTTAATGCTACTATCCCATACATTTAATTTTGTAACCTCTGCTCTGACTCCCTTTCCTTCATCAGATCAAGAGAGTGAATCCCGAAGCTTATAAGAAGACCTTTGAAGAGATTGTGCGCAATATCGACAAACTGGAGAATGAATGTATTCCATCTTTAAGCTTGTCCAAGCGGGAGGTAAAATTTTCTATCCTGTAATTTGTAGTCCAATAGAAATCGGTTTATTTGCATACAATTTAAGTAGGCTGTTTTGACACACTTTGTGTAAACGACATAGAATGATGTCATATTTTGACTCTGAATTTGTTTTCCTTCAGTTCCACTTCAAGGATGTGAAGTTCATGCAACACCACGCTGAGACCCTGAACCTTTTCAATGATGGGCAGGTCCCATGTCAGTTTGAATTCATCCAGAAGCCAAACGAATCCACGTACTCCAAGCCCTGGCTAACAGCCAACCCATCTAAAGGCTTCATTGCACAAGGTAAGAAACCTGAACAGTAAAACTTAACTTGGAGCCTCAAACATTGGATCATGGCTGCTGTCACACATCTCCTAATGTTGTATGTACATCTCTTATTTTCTAGGTGCTTCTATGGACATTGACCTGGAGGTTTTTGTAAACCGCTCAACGGCACCAGATCTAAACTGCGGCAAGCAGGAAATCGAAGATATTCTGGTGCTTCATTTGGAGCGAGGCAAGGACTACTTCATCTCCGTAACAGGGAACTATTTGCCAAGCTGCTACGGTACTTCGATCTATTCACTGTGTCACATGAAAGAACCTATTCAAGACATGCCGAAAGAAATCCTTCTTGAGCTGGTCAGCAACTTTTGAAATATCTTCTTTCATTTCTTGCCATTTCTTTTTTTAAAAGTTTCAAGAAAACGTGTCTTTTTTCTTCTGAACATCAGGCGGAAAAGTCTCCAAACGATGATACAGCAACCGATGAAAAGCCTCTTGACATTCCTAAAGAACTCTGGATGATGGTGGATCACTTATTTCGCAATGCTGTTGACCAGGTGAGAAAAGATTTGGATTTACAAAGTTTGCTGTTAGATTTGCCATTTGTATATCCAAGCTGCAGAAATCTGCAAAGGTTAGGATTCAGGGAATAAAGTGCATGCTTTCAGCATTGCTCCAGAGATGCAAAATATAGAAGGTTTTTGCACATTTAAAATTTCCTAACATAAAAAAAAGATTATTGTTTTTTTTCCATTAAACTTGTAAAAAAATACATTCATTGATTGAGTAAAAAATAAGGCTGTTGTAAAGAGATGATTTCCCATTGACCCATACCGGAGTGGATTTTACTTGTTTTGGGCTTTATTATTCTTACTTATTATTGGGTTTAGTTTGAAATTATTTTATTAGATAACAGTGTATATCTTAAAATATATAATTCTAAAATTACATAATCTTCCTTAAATTAAAATTAAAATTTAAGTTTTAGATTTCTCCTGAGGCTACATAGAGGCTAATATGATTAAGTAATTATGCCCTGCAGCTTGTAGGAAGTCATAGTAGATTTATGTAAGGAGTTGCATCTATATTTCATTTTTATGCCTTCATTCAGAAACCTTTTTTTTTATTTAGGTCAGACACAATAAATCATTTATGTATGTGGTCCTAAGAAAAACCAAATGTAGTCTTTCCATTTACAGGAAGACTTATTTCAGCAACCTGGACTTCGGACTGAATTTGCTGAAATAAGAGATTGCCTTGATTCAGGGATGCCGGATTCTCTTCGTATCCTTTCAAAAAAGATTGGCTTAAAAAAGTGAAATACTGAAATATTTGAAAAACTTTATGGTCTTTGAACATTTTTGTTGTTGTTACTAAAGATTTACAAATGTAAATACTCCATATCTGTGCCGAATTTAAATTACATTTATTTCAGAGTGAAATAAAACTCTGAAATTACTGAAAGTGCATGAAGCGCTCTGTCACTACATTGCCTTTTTTTTATTTTTAAATTGCAGTTACCCTACTCCACAGAGTAGAGTTGCTGTGATACAAAAATAGTTAGTCTTCTGTATATTTCACACAAGAAATGTTTCCTTGACTGTGTCAACTTGCAGCGGGTAGTAACCATTCAGTGGCAGAAGCCCTTCTTCTCTTCTTGGATGCACTCCCAGAACCTGTGATTCCCTTTTCGTTTTACCAGCAGTGCCTTGAATGCAGCTCCAGTGCAGACGAGTGTGAGAAAGTAAGAAAAAACATCACAGCAATCTTTTTTTCTGATGTTGGAGAATAAAAAACTAAATGTTCGGTTGACACTAACTTTCTTTTCCTTGTTGTTCAGGTTATTTCCACGCTACCTCAGTTCCATAAAAATGTGTTCAATTATATAGCAGCCTTTCTCCGTGAGCTCTTAAAGAATTCTGCAAACAATCGATTAGAAGTTGCCATTTTGGGTAAGAAAATTAATACTATTACTTTTGTTCTTTTTTCAATGTTTAACAGGAATAATTCTTCTGTGCGCTATAAACAATGAATTCTCTTTGTTCACAGCCACTATTTTTGCCTCCTTGCTCCTGAGGTCACCTAAGAAGCAGGACTTTGCAGAAAAGAGGAAAACACAGGAGTTCTTTCAGCATTTCCTAACCTAACATTCCTCTTGGGCACAAAACGTCTATTTTGCTGAAGTGGAACACTAAAAAAAAGTACAGTATTTGAAACAAACTGTAGAAATTTATTATACCACATTTATGTACAGCAAAGTAGTGTATTTACATTAAAGAAATTATGATTGTAATTTCAGTATGTTTTGTGATCCAATTATCACCGATTATTGTAGATCTGTAGACGCCTAAAAGTTTAAAATGTATATTTTATTTAAAGAAAAGCTTGTATTTTAATGTCTTTGTATATAAAATTGTTTAAAAATGTGTGGTCTGCTTTTACTTTTCACTTTACATTGCATTTTATTTATGCTTTTAGAAAATAAGTACATTATACACAACTTTAAAAAAATAAATGTTCATTTTCAGCTATACATTACATTAACAAGCTCGCCCCTCTTCCTTAACAACATGGTAACATAATTTAACATCCATTGAAAAGAATTTAAAATACGCACAAACTGCCCAGTAGCTGGTGACTTAGTTGACAATAGAGTGGGGCTATAAGCTTTTGGCATGTAAGGAAAAACACTGATTATGGTGTAGATAAGTAGTAAAAATGAATGCACATTTATAGAAATGTAAGTTAATAAATGGGAATATGCATAAATTACAGAATTATATACAGAATGTAATTATTTATGGGTCAAATGAATAGTAGAAAAAAATAATGAAAAAACCCAGAAACTGTCCAGTCTTCACTGGAGCTGCTGTAATACAGACTGCTACAGGAGATGCCTACTGCCCACAGCCATCAGCATCTACATTTCACTGGAGAACATCGAGTTACATTTTATGACCTACGATTAATAAAGTATTTTTGTGTATACCAATTAAAGATGATTTGATTCAATAAAATTACACTGGATATGCAGGGTTTTGTTGCACTTGCATAAAATAACATTTTATTTTTTTGCCAAATTAATAGTGAAAGATAATTTCTGCTGGCATATCCTGTGTGGGAATGATATAACTTTATTTTGCTCTTCTGAAATTATTTTATGATCGAGTTATATATGTAGTTTCCCATAATTCATCACAAATGGCTATGATGTGTGACGTTGTTTGGCATCCCCCTGTTGGGAGGAGATAGGAAGAAAGTGCTTGCCATCCTGAGCTTAGGGACAGGGCTCACGTTTTGAAAGGTAAACGTGTATGTTGTTGTCATTTCCTTGTACCAGCTAAACTTCGCCATTGGTATGTCGTCTTGTCGTTTCAACATCATTTAACCATTTATCTGCACAGCACAGTCTGTACGAGATGTCAACTGTCGACATTAGCGATGCTAGCTAATACTTTAGCTTAGCCGTGAGCTAAAGAGTTGCTGCCTCGCACATCTATCTCTGATGTGAAATATGTAGTTGACACAGCTTGCGCAATGCTAACATACTAGCATATATTAAATGACTTTTAACTCGCGAGTTATCAAGAATATTAGAATCTTGTTTGTTTACGATTGAGTTATTAAGCGTGGAAAACGCACGAATGCGCTAAATTGGGTGATAAAACCGAGGAACGTTGTAAATAAATTGAGATATTAGGTTTGTCTTAGCTACTTATAGAGTTTGCTAACTGTCGATGTTTGGCTAACAACCTTAGTACTGACATTTAGAGAAATTAAGGAAATTGCATTGTCAAACTTTTGGACAGTTGTGGCTGCTGATGAGATTTCCAAATGATTATGTTAACATTTTAGGTCGCGTGCGAAAATAGTTGATTCTGGTTGTCATGAGAAATGGACATCGACACGAAGGTTGAAAGTAATTCCATTTTGAGGATTGTAATGAGGATAGTACACTGTAAATCATTATTCGTTGTGTCCGGTCCCTGTTTGAATTGTTACCCAACTGGCTCTAGAAAGTTCTAGACTTTGATTTGACTGTTTACGTTTCTATAAACTCAACTAAACTCACTCTAGAGATGCTGCGGGGAAAAATGCATTTGCCTCCTTACATATTTCTCCTGTTTCTCTAATGTTTAATTTCTTAAAAGAAATTGTGTTATTACACAACAATATCAAGAAAGTGCACAGAGCTTCGGGTATTACATCTAGAAACTACAGATCAGCTCCAAATTTAGGTGTTGTGATGGACTTAGACCTGAGCTTTCATTGACTCATATACAAAGTCAACCTCAGTTGGAGAAAACTTCTAGGATTAAACAACTCATGTCACAATAAGATTTTGAGAAACTCATGCATGTGTTTATCTTCAGTAAATTGTTTACAGCTATAGTGTCTTCACAGGACTGCCTGAAAAAAATCAGACAAGCTGCAGCTGATTCACAGTGCTGCTGCTAACGCTCTCACTAAAACTAGAAAAACGGAAAACATCAAAAAGATTTAGTCTTTTTGATGTGCCAGTCATTAGACTGGCTCATTGTAGCTCAGAGAAAAGATTTCATAATACTTTAGTTTGTTTATGAACCACTGAATAAAACAGAACCAAACACGAAAAAGCAGCATTCAGTTTTTATGCTTCACTAATCTGGAAAATACTTCCAGAAATCTGCACACACAAAAAATGCCGGAACTCTGGGTTTCTTTAATCAACGCTAAAAGTTCATTTGTTTAGAGTTCCATTTTTTTGCTGTTTTGTTTATACTACTAACTGAAAAGTCATTCATTAGTTGGACTGCAGCATTTTAGCTGTGACCCAACCATTATGCAGAATCCACTATGCGTGGTGATATAATTGCAATTATTGAAGGAATGAATTCTATTTTTCAGCAGAAATCTAGATAGAGAATCTTTATCCATCACATCAATGCTATAGCATTTTTTTTTTGTGATGCTGTTGAAGAACAATCCAAGTCACAGCAGCAAGTTAACTTCTGGGTGGCTCAAAAATAATAAAATTGAATAATAATGATAGTAAAAATAATATTTCGGAGAAGCCTGGAAAGAATCTTGATGAAATTTATCTAAACTGCGGTGGCAGGATATTACTTTGGCTAAACATGTTCTAAAAATTATTATTATTATTATTATTATCTTTGTCTGATTTTGACATTCGCTATATGAGCCAAAACATTGTTAGTGTGACGGAAAACTAAAGCAGAAAAATACAAGGATACAAACCTTTTTTTTTTTTTTTTTTTACCCGTGTTTCTACCACAAGCTTCTACCTCCTGCGACTTGAATTGTAATTATTTTATCGGCCCCTCTGTCTCCTCTGAAACAACTTATATTTACTGTTTCAGGTTTAAAGTATATCCAATGGTAAAGATTAAAATGGATTTTTGTTTCAAGGGACAGAGAACAGTTCAAATGTTCTCTGTCCCTGTTTTTAGTAGTGAAAATGTCATATTTAGCTGTAACAAATGTGACATTTTTCCCATTTAGAAGGGCTGTTACAATTGCTATGTGTTTTGGTTGGGTTTTAATGATTCCAGTATCATTTCAAGTTCTTTTATTGTTCTTTTGGATTTTCTTTTTCATAAAACTAACATTTTTCATATCAGTTTGGAAAATGTTGACTTTTTTATTTTTATCTTTCTTTGCCAGATTTTGATCAAATTCCCCTTTCAATAGGATTTAATTGTATTTTGTACAAATGTTGCAAAATATTTTAACAGTATTTCAGAACAAGACTACAGGAAGACTACAGGAAGGGCACAACACTAGATAGCATCCTTAAAATTCTCTTAGTGCATCGTCTTTCTCAGACAGAACATGTATTGTGGGACTTAGTTCAGTAAGATGACAACAGTGCTTTCTATGAACTTGGATGTGAAAAATGCTTCATCTGTGCAGGCTGAGACTTTACCTTGGCAGGTTGACTTGACAAGAATCATACCTGCAAATCTGGATGTGATGAATAGATTTTCTGTCAAAGAATTTTTTCAAAGATTTTCTATACCAGAATTGTCTTCCTAAAACATAAGGACCACCCTATTTTTTCTCTTTTTAAATGAGATGAACTATGTTTTATTAGATATGTTTCAGATATTGTATGTTTTAAAAAAAGACTGTCTGAAAGAATTTTAAAAGAACTCAGGTTTCTTGGTTGAGGTTAAGATGGGTAAAAAAATGCAGAACTTAACCAAGAGCTTGCATTTGTATTCCAAAGTTTTACTGGAAAGTCATAAAATTTATTTGCAATTTTTAAAAGAATCCAAATATTTTGTGAACTAACTAAGCATATGTTTATGTGACAAATTTCTTGATGTGTGCTGTATAGGTGGCACCCTCAATTAATAGATCATTTGGCTAATTTTAAATAGTTGTACTAATCTTCACGCAAATCAAACATTGTTTGATAGTCATAACAAACATCAACAGTCATCTCTGACTATGTTGTCATATGTGTTCTTGGCATCATTACATTTTCATTGAAAATTTCTAAAATAGCACACATGTAGCATTTTCTAGGCATTGGCACGCAGGTAACATACTCTGCTAATGCCACCTGCAGACTTGATGATAGTTACACACTTGGTTTTATTTAATGAAATGTCACTGTGATTAAATTGAATAGTTTTTTTAAAAATTATGTTAAGTTCTCGCCTTTCCTTAAAGTAACATATCTAATCGAGATTAAGGCCAAATGTAATTATCGCTCATTTTTCAGGCATCGCATTCAACCAGTGTACGGTCCTTCTTGCAAAGGAAGGCAAGGCGACAGGGACCATGAGTGAGAATGGCCCTCGAACAGAGGCGCCAATGTACTTCGAGGTGGAGGTGGACCAGCTGGAGCGGGAAGACGAAGAAGAGGACGACAAGATCCACTATGACAAAGACGACGACCTGATCGCTGAGCCGTCATCCTCGTCCGGGCGCGTGTACGACCGCACCACCGTGCTCATCGAGCGAGACCCCATCCGCCTTGACGAGGAAGGCGAAGAGGAGGGGCATTGTGGAGGCGATGAAGATGGAGTCACCTTTTTAACTGAAGGGGAGGGTGATGCGGACGAGGAGGAGGGATCTCTGGCCTTCATGGCCGACCCCGATGGGATGTCTCAGGGTTATGTGCATCACACGATTTCTCCTGATCAGATCCAGTTCACCATAAACCCAGGCTCCACGCCGATGCCCCGCAACATAGAGGGCGCTACGCTCACCTTGCACTCCGAGTGCCCAGAGACCAAGCAGAGAGAGGTAAGATGTTACACATATATGTTCTATAATGTAAAGGATGTATCGCTGTTGTTTCCAGACAAACCTGTGTGTGATATGTTTGCTAGGCTAAGGCCTCTCATTGATTATTGTTAAAGTAGGACATGGCTTTAGTTGTTTTTTGCTGAAGTAATGGTTTCTCTTTGTTTGCATGAGATCTGTCAGCACTTGCAGCTAATTGGTCAACTGGAAAGCCTTAAAGATTTTTCTGACAGGTTTAATTCTCTTCAAAAACAAAACAAATGCATATTGTGAACTGGGAGTGTTTCCCACTTAATTTCATTATACGTATGACATAGCAAGTGGGATGAGTATATACAAGGCTGTTTTTGTTCTCCTGGAGTTTGTAATGCAATTTCTTGAAGAAGGGTTTGAAGCAAACAGTAAGACAGAAACTAACCTGGTTGCTCATTTACTCTGTAAATCTCCCCATGGTTTTGGCACGCATCTCACAGGAAATGACTCAGAGACATAAAAACATTATATAAGCCTAATTAACAAACGACAAGCTGCATTGCTTATAGTGGGAATACTCTAACAATAGCTTAGGCAGGTGCACTGTCCTCATCCTCTCAGGTATTTATTAAGTCCGGATAAGGTCCCTGTACATTTTAGGTCTGGATTTGGTTGAAAACAAAATTAAAGAGCTCTTACTTGTAGTCTCACCTTTTAATAATCCAAGCAGGTAGAATATGAAATCTCAGTTATTTGTAGTCTTATTATGATCATGTTTTTCAGCTATCGCTTAAATGACTAATTATCGCACCTGTATTTTATGTACTGTGAAGGTAAAAAGTTTGTTAGAGAATATTTATGAACAAACAGCGTGGTGAAAGGAACACAACAGACAGATCAGGGAGTTTGAACTAAGGTTAGGTTATACAATGATGCCTGGAGTTTTGGACTACTCAGAAAACTTTTCAGTGAATCATGTGAAGATAAAAAGTGTAGCTTAAAGAGCCAAACTGTAGAAAAAAATTAAATTTAATGTAAAAAAAAAGATCAAATAAAAAAAACTTTGTAAATATGTTTTACCAATATTTACAGATTTACCCATAGCCAGATTTACAGAATAAAAGGCAATCAGGAAGTCATAAAGCTTAGTTTTAACTTGACCTTGTTCAGATTCTCTTAAATAGAAATAAACTTTATTGCTGTCCATTTATGAATTCCTTAATTAATGATCAACAGATCAGTCTTACATTGTGTTGATGTTAAGTTGACCCGAAAGGCTGAGGCTGAGCTTTTCTCATGTTGATGCTACATGTATATTTGTTTTTAGCTGCTGATGCAGATCTTTTGCTACAATGAATAAGGAATGCTGTTATTGCATTTTAGGCAACAAAATGTTTATTTTCTTATTTAAAAAACAAATTGTTTTTGTATTTTTAACGTATAAAAAAGTTTAAACGAGTCCATGAAAAATCTAGACAATGTGCTATTTTTTTTAACAGAATAATCAATTTGCAAAATAATCTTTAGTTGAAGCCTTAATATGGTAGAGTTTATGATGTGTGGTTTTGTGCACATTAGGCTTAATTGAAACAATATTATAAATCTGTTCATCTGCCTGATTATTTTACTTTATGACCTGAGAACTAACAAAGTGTGTACTTTCTTTTCGCTATAACTATGTGTTCTGGGCAAGTTGCCTTGGCATTGTGAGTTTCTCACTTGACACATTACACATTTAGTAACCTCTCTTTTCCTGCTTTTGTGGTAATTGTTCTCCAGTTACGTTTGATCTCTTTAGATAAGATTGAGAACAACAGTTAAATGAAATGATGTCAGTTTTTTGTCAGGGAGGCCATCTGAAATGTAAACGTTCTTCTCCTGGCTTTGTGTTCACAACACGGTAGTTTTGTTTTTCCGAACGGTGAATAGATTGCTATTATTCACGCAACCCGGGGGTAGTTGTATGAGACTTTTGTGCTGCACTGGACATGTTGGTGCTGTGAAGCAATATTGAATGGATCCGTTGCATAGGAGGGTTAGTCATCTTTGCTGTCCTTTCCGCTCAACCACTTTGAACACTGACATGTGGCTGAATCATTCAGCTCAAGTTCCCTCTGAAAGGTCGCACTGTCACAGATTGTCACTTTCTATATAATGGTCTGGTATTTTTTAGCTGAGTCAACAAACTGTTTACAGTTTTCTTTCTTTCTCTCGTTTTTTTTTTTTTTTGTTCACTGAAGTTTAAAAATGAGTTACAGACTCTTTCTTGGGCAATTATTTCAGTAGACTTGAATATTGTGCTTTTTTTTCTCTTTTTTGCTTCAGGTAAAACGCTATCAGTGCATGTTTGAAGGGTGCACTCGGACCTACAGCACAGCAGGAAACCTGCGGACACACCAGAAAACACACCGTGGCGAGTACACGTTTGTGTGCAATCAGCAGGGCTGCGGAAAGGCCTTTCTCACCTCTTACAGTCTCAAAATCCACGTACGTGTTCACACGAAGGAGAAACCTTTCGAGTGTGACGTGCAGGGCTGTGAAAAGGCCTTCAACACACTGTACAGGTGAGCTTCCACCCTTCTTCATGCTGCTGTTTGTTCAGGGCTGTTTTGTTTGCAACTCATTTCATTAAAGGCCAAACCAGTCATCCAGCAAGAAGAACTGCACTATGTTTTTGTATACATCCCTAATCCGGAATTATATACAATTTTTATTTCCTTTTAAATAAATTTAAAGATTTGAGAAATATATTATCCAAGATTTAATAAATGTATCATGGGTTAAATCTATTTGTAGTGTCTTGGAAAAATAGTCTCACCCCTTGAACTTTACCGCGTTTTACTTAGTAACAGTAAGAAACTTTCATTACTTTTATTGCCATTTTCTTGAATAAATGCAAAAAGTGACTGATAATTGTGAAGTGGAACATTATACTTGTTGATTTTTTTTTTTGCAAGTAAAAATTTGAAAAGAACATATTTGCACCCCTTCTACCCCCTTTACTGTGATAAGGGGGGAGAGGTCTATTTAATAAATAAATGTGTTTTAATTAATTACAAGTGAATTAAATAAATTTGCAAGTCATTACCATCAAAGTTATTAGAAAAATAGGCTTAAAATATTTCACTCTTCGTAATGACAATATAAGATGTGAGTTTCTGAAATGATTGGAAAAAATAAAGACCTATTTTTCACAGTATTCCAATAGTTGGAGCTGTACATCTTAGCCCACATCATAGCTGCCTGGTTCCTCCAGATACTGTAGCATAAATGCCTTGTTCTTGATGGCAATGTGTTGTCAGCATCTCTTATGTGTCAGAGGCTTTTACCCCAGGGAGCCATCGCAAGCAACACTCGGATGGATTCTCTCCTTAACGACATTCATTTCCTTCTGTCTTCTCCTATTGCCACCCAGATGCTGCATCACTGCAGTCAGTGGGTGTGGACTTTGCTCTGTTGCTTTTCTTGTTTTCCAAATTAAAACTATTGTAACATTTTTTTTAAATATGTGAAAATAACTTTTTGAGTAAAAAATAAAAATACTGGATAAAACTGATGTTTGCCTTGTTTATTTTCTGTAGGTCTGCCATTAAAGAGACAATAAAGCAAACTTGATTGTTTTCGCAGGCTAAAGGCTCACCAGAGACTTCACACAGGCAAGACATTCAACTGCGAATCGGAGGGATGCACAAAGTACTTTACCACACTTAGTGACCTGAGGAAGCACATTCGCACTCACACTGGGGAGAAGCCATTTCGGTGAGAATTTCCATTAAAACCACAGTTTCATTTCTTTTCTGTCTGCAACTTTGGGAACTGAGGCTTTAATAAACACCCAAAAGTAGTGGAGATAGGATGTTCGCTGGTGTTCACAAACTGTTTTTAATGAACATTTTTAATGTTTACACATGGGCAACATAGGCTTGGGTCTATTTTGGATGAATAATCAATACTTTATTTTAAGGTACTGAGTCATTTCCTGTTATTCCTTATAGGTGTGATCATGATGGATGCGGGAAAGCCTTTGCTGCAAGTCATCATCTCAAAACACACGTACGAACACACACAGGTACGTATTTTTCCAAACTTTGGACGTCTCAGGAAGCTCCAGCGACTCCATCAAGTGGAAACTGAAAGAGTAAACTGATCGTAAATGTAACAAGACAGGACAGTCCAGTGGTGGAATATATAAACCTGAACACATCATCCCCACAGTGAAACATGGTGGTGCCAACATTATATTATGAAAATTGTTTTAAATAGCAGAGACAGGAAAGTTGTTCAAGATAAGAAGATGACTGGAGCTAAATCAAGGACAATCCTGGAAAAAAAAACTGTTAGAGGTTTCACCTAAAACATTAAAAAGTCAGATGTGCAATGGAATAAATGAGAAAAAGGTTTAAATCATAAGGATTATTTTGAAAGCACTGTGCGTTCTTTACAACCTACTGAGCACATAATTACACCCTTTATTCAAACGTTTTTCTTTTTAGGCGAGAAGCCTTTCAACTGTCCCAGTGATGGCTGTGAAAAGACGTTTAGCACTCAGTACAGTCTGAAGAGTCACATCAGGGGCCACGACAAAGGACAGCCGTTCACTGTGACCCTCACACACCCACACTCTGAAGTGAGTCATTCCACAGCAGCATCTTGGAATGTGAAACACTTGTTTGCAGTTTGTTGTGCAGGACAAGTGTGAATCTAGCTGGGCTCTGTTTGCAATGATTGTGTGTGTGTTTATGAGCTGTGAATATGGAGTTAATTTATTTTCACAAGTGAAGCTTTATTATTTAATGGGATGTATTTTAGGGGTTAAATAAAACCTTTTTGAATCATTATTTTTTTTCATTAAACCACTTATAATTTGATTTATTATTTCCAGCTGGTATACCACACTTATAATAAAGTTACTTACACAATGCAGCCCCCTCAAAGTCCTCAGTCACCCAGCGCTTATTCAGATTCATATTTTTATTTTAACATCTCTCACTTTGACAGTATTTTGTCACGGTCATTAAAAAAGAATTAGAAACTGAAAGCCCTTCTGCTGGTTCCAGAAAACGGAAAGAAATGTTTGTTCATATGTTTGATAGCAGGGGGAAAATAATCTTGTTGAGACGACGGCTGATTTTGAAAAAAAAAAAGAAGTGAACAAGAAGACCCAGATTTATAAATGATGGCTCGTACTTAAAAGTCCCACTGTTATTGCAACACTATTCTAATTGAGTTTCTGTCTCAAAAACAATTTTACATCAAAAATGTATGTAAAATATTAATTTTCATATGATCATGTAAAAGAGTTTGTGGTTTAAAATAGGTTTTGTTTTTTACTGACCCATTATTCCTTAATTATAGGATGCAAATCACTCACTGTGCCTCAGTGACTTGAGTCTCATCTCTACTGACTCAGAGCTACGAGAGAACATCAATAATGTAAGTGGAACTGTTGTCTCATCTTTGTTGAATGCAGTTTGGATTAATGTGGAGGATCCATCAAGATAATCACGAATTAGTGAGTGTATTACAAAGCCAGGTAATTGGATACCTTAGATTTTCTCCTATTAATTACTGATTTATTTATTGATTGATATTATATGTACATGCAAGCGAATCTCTAACTACACTTGTTAGGGTTAGGGTAAGTTTCAGTATTTGAATTATAAACTTTTATGGGGTTTTTTTATATATATTTAGCCTATAGGTAAATAAATCTAAACATTCAGTTCAAATAACTTGAATATTACTTATCATATTCAATTCAATATTTAAAAAAATTGCTAAAGAAGCTAGCTCTTCACAGAGCTACGTGTGTTTGCTCTTGAACCAGAGACAACGTCAGCATCTTATGGTGACAAATTATTGATGCCAAGTGGTCCAAAGTCATCTGTTCAGATGAAAGTAAATTTAGTTTTATTTATATATCAAAGTCTAATGTTAAGTATTTAAATTATACTCTGTACAGAACATGGATATACCTTTGCTGAAAATTTATTTTTTATTTCAATGGAGTTCATTGGTCTTAAAATCCTCAAATTTTCTTAGAAACCAAATATGGGTTTTCATTAGCTGTAAATGATAAATATTGCAATGAGCAAGAATGAAGACTTGTGATGATTGTAAGAATCTTGATTTTTTTAATTATTTTATTTGATTACTATGAGAAAAAATCTCTTTTGATTGACCTTCTAATTTGTGGAGATGCTTCTTGATCTGTTTTACAGGCTCAAAACCTGGACCTCAACAACGTGACTCCTATAAAAATATTTGAACTCATGTTCCAGAGTCCTGAAAATAGCATAAGCCAAGATGACCCACATCCCACCAGTAAGATCTCAGAATCAAAAATGTGTGTTTAAAGTGTAACAAACATAAATGTCATGGCTGAGATTTTTTTTTCTGCCTTAGAGAATTTAGGTGAAACTTTCTGCATAGAGACCTCTACCCAACCAGGCATGACTGATGTTTCGTCAGTAATCTCGTTCTCTGTCAATCCTACCTCCTCATCATCCTGCACCAACAATGCTGCTGTCCTGGAGGCTTCTTCCCAACATATTCAAAGCTCCTCCCCTCAGGCACACACTCCTGTCCCTGTGACTGCTAGTGTCAACTCCACACAGAACCCTCCTTTCATGCAGCTCAGTGGGGCTCAGCAGATTTCAGATGTGCCTCCGGCTCCTGTCCAAGCGTCAAACCATGTCACCTCTCAACACTATGTGGCACTGCCACCTACATTCCTCCAGACAGAAAGTGCTACTCAGACTTCTCCTCTACCGCAGCCCATCTCTGGTCCAGCTCTGACCTCCGCAGCTCCAGTTTCTGCAGCCGCCACAGTGGATGGGCTTTCAGCTGCACCTCAACCTGTGCCTTTGGCCAGCAGCGCTGTCACCAACAGCGACCCCAGCCAGGTTACCACTCCTGCCACCATCACCATAGCGTCGACTCCAAACGTGCTCCAGCCCAGCCTCGTCATGTCAGACCAGAACCTCCAGTGGATCCTGAGCAGTGCTGCTAACAGCCAGCAGAACCCTGAGCAAGCAGTGAGTACTGCACACACCCATGGATAACATAACAAATGTCTTTTTTTTTTTTTGCTGAATCTTTTTTGAGAATAATGGAGCAGTCACTGAGGATTAGCTTCCACAGAGACGTTGCCTGCTCAGCATCTCTAAGTCTTATATTTAAGTAAATATTTTCAAAAAGTGGCTTTTATCATCTCCTCTAAAAGTTGTACGACAGAGTATTAGGGCCAGGATACAACTTTTTTTGTGTAATTGCTTATTATTAAAATATAGTTCTATAATAAACAGAACAAAGTGAATTTTAGCAGAAGTCTTAAACTTACAAGTAAACGTAATTTTAAAGCAGAATAAAGCTTATAGTTACTGAGATCTGACCGAATTCATGTGTTGTTTTTTTTTTTCTTTTCAAATTAGACTCAGTTGTTTGTGCAGTTGTTTCAAAGTTCTCCTACTGGTAATAATTTGATGCTGTGTGTTAAAATTTAAATAATAGACGCTCAACATGCTTCGTCATATTTTTGTGACGAAGTTCTCATAAAATTGCTGTTTTATTCTCCTAATATTACAAACTTATTCTCATATCATTTTGGCAATCTCCCATGGTCCTATTCTTGTAATATGACTACTCTCATAATTAAAAAAATACATCAATAATTCTTAGCCTGTTCCTAATAATATGACCTGAAAATAAATAAATAAATAGAAGCTTTTTAAACAAGATTGCAGCCCTGGGTGTGCTGACAGATAGAAAGATAGAAACACAAATATTGCATAATAAAAAATAAAAAAATTTCAAAAATTAAATCTTGAAAAACCAAAAATTGCATTTATCTGTAAAATCAATTTATCAGCCATACTTCCTACAGTTCTTTAGTTCAGCACAAAAATTGTCTAAATCAAAGGAGCAAACCCCTGTTTTGATGTTTGTTTACAGTCTCACCAAGGAGCTCCAAAAGTCGAAAAGGTCTTCTTTACTACAGCCATACCAGTTGGAGGAAGTGCTGGTAAGCCTTTTTATGTTTTTTTGTATATTTTTGGACATCTGCTAAAAATAACATTAAATCAAGAATGTGTTTTGTGGTCCGGTAGTGAATGTATCAATCTCATTCTAAGCAAAAACAGGGTCAGTATTGCTATGATTGTTACAAATATTGATACTTACCATTTACATATCAAACTTCTGACCTTCAGGCATTTTCTGTTTTTTCTTTTGAATTATTTGTTCAAACCTAGAACTGAATTTAGATAAAAATTTACAGATGTCCACAAAATACTTTAATAACATGTGTATATGACAGATATAAAAATGAAACACATTTGTATACATTGTTTTCTAAATAAAGTGCCAAAATTTTGACCAAAATCTTTTTATGTTAGTTGAGAAACTACAATTCAAATCTAAACATATTTCAAGAGGGAATCTGTAATTTATGTATTGATCTTATCAAGAGAATATTGAATCAGTACTCATACCAACAGGGTATTAATATTTTTAGATGAATCTACCCACCTTTATCTTTTATGCTGAATCAATTAAATATTCAGTCAACATACTGATTCTGTGGGCCACTGAGATGGTGTCACAATAGTTTTGAATGATATGTGGTTTATGTGGACCTGTTTTATATAGTTTTGCTTTGAGTTCTATAAATTGGTGACACTAAGACAGCAAATTGAAAAGGCTGATTTAGAGTTTTACTTTTTAATGGCGTTACCAAAATGAATTTTTCCATGATACTCTAAGGTACTGAGTTTGTAAGTCATTTGTTTATATTATAGGCCCTACGGTATATATTAGCAGCCTGAATTTGAGTCGTTTCTTTTTCAGGTAACTCTGTCCAGCAGATTGGCCTCAGCCTGCCTGTCATCATCATCAAACAGGAGGAGTCCTGCCAGTGCCAATGTGCCTGCAGGGACTCTGTGAAAGACAAGACCGCAAAGAGTGCCTCCTCCATCATTTCAGCCCCTTCACAGCAGCAAACTGTAGAGCCCACTCCCCAGCTGTCATCTGAGCCTCCACCACACTCAACCACTTCATCTTTGTCTTGCTGCCTCCCCAAGTCTTCCTCCAAGGTGGGTGAGCCAAGACCAGAAGCCCCCTCTTCCTCTTCCTCCTCCTCTACTGCAGCTCAGAGTTTCTCCCCAATAGTGAGCAACACTGCCGCCCACCCACCCACATCAGACGGGCTAGCCAATATGGACGTCTCAGACTTCCTGTCCATTCAGAGTCCCGAGACAGCCGCCAACATCGAAGCTCTGCTGCTTGTCGCGGATGACTTCAACATGACCACTGACAGCGGTCCTTAAGAGAATTTCCACCCTGCTTTACTTTTCCACCCACAGCTCCAATAATTCTTCAAACAGATGCCTCATCCTTCACTGTGCATATTTTGTGCATGTCCAACCCTCTGTGCAGTGCATTCTGTTCTGTATGGCACTGTGTGGCATATATACAAACCTGTAAAAACTAGGAGTATGTTTTTGATTTCTGCAGTAGTTGCAGTTAGTTTGCTCACAGAGATTTAGCAGCCTTTAGGCAAATCAATTCTGCAAGAAGCAGTTGATCCTTTGTGGAAAATATTGCCTGTATATATTAATCCTATTGATATCTACTCATGAACTGATGAAATGTTGTCAAAGCACTGATAATATAAAAAGGTTGTGTTACTGAGCAGTAAGGAAAACAAAAATATTTCTATATCTTCGTACTGTACCATAGGGCCTATCAAACGCTTCAAACTGGTATGCAACTGACCAGAATGCACTGTATATTGGAGGAATTTGCTCTTACTTTAATCATGTTTGATTTAAAGCCTAATTTAGCTCATATGAAGTTGTTTCCTTAGCATTCACATTGAAAAATGTATGTAATCAGAAAATGTGATTACTAATTGAGAAGAACTTATGATTAGTTCTGCCTGTCTTTTAAATGGCATTAAGTCTATTGGTAAGTTGCCTCTAACTTAAACTAACTTAATTTTTTGTATGTTAATTTATTTAAATGCTTGATTCTTTTACTATACAGGTAAAATTCTACTTTATTAGAGTAGGAAATTAATCTAATTTATTTCAATCAGGTGTGCTTTTAAGTTGAATTTTATTTCTTTCCTTATTTGGTTACTGACATGCTTAACGAGTTTTGCTGAAAGCAAGTTTGTGAAAAGATTAACCTCTAGTTTAATGCACAGTAAAGCAAACTGTTGTCAAGGATCTCCAAGATATGACCACACTTAGTTTGCAACTACTGTCACCATCCCATGTTTTCAGGGTTGGGACCCTCTCAGGGATGCATCAAGTCATAACTGATCCCTGTTCCCTGAGTTTGTTAGACTCGTTTCCTTTTCCCAGAAGACACACTTGCAGTAGCCCTATGTTTTGCTGCACTCTTCCCTGTTTTTTGCACACTTCCTTGTAAAAAGAATAATTTCACAGCTTGCAAGCTGAGAGGCGACACCACTACAGACTTTTTTGTATACAACTGCTGTAAAGTAGCATTTAAAAGCTGGTGTCTGGAGATTGTAGATAGAGTACATTTTAGTGTAAGCATCTTTGAAAACCTTGTAAGACTACAGGATTTGTATTTTTGTATAGAATTTTGAGCTCAGAGTTTGAACCTAATCTATCCTGCATCTTTACATTCCCCACTCCTTACCCCAATCACATTTATGTAGAGCAGTTTTGAGTTTTTGCCGTGTTTAGTTGAATTGTTCTATAACCAACTGGGCTTCTGTACAGTCACTATTTGTATAAAAAATGTAACTTATAGCCTTTTGGTAAGAATATAATTTAATAAGTATTGTTTCACATGGGACACAATGCAATGATGACAGAACCAAGGCATTATTTCCAGCAGGTTTTGATATGGAAGCTCCTTGACCTAACAGATCATTCTACAAGCATCTTTGCCTTGATCATCTCTCCATCACATTTCAAAATATTAATTTTTATCTCTTATATGGATCACTTTGGCCAAAATAGTAAAAGTTTCTTCACAATGTCTAGTTTTTGTTTTCTGGAACGGATGTTTGGAAGAATGCAATGAATTGCTCTATGATGGAACAGAAAGCTGACTTTTAATTCATGGTCATAGTTAAAATGTTAAAATCTGGTAGTTTTTGGCCATTTCACATAAATTGAGAGGCACAATAATCAGGATATGTTGTCTTGAGTCAGTAAACTCAATGCTGGGCTCATTTAAAATGTAAGTGTAGTACTGAAAAAGTTAAGCCACCCATTTTTTGTATTTTGATAAAAGCAGAACAGATTCTTATAACCATGCTAAAGGACTCGAGCAATGGTTTTTCAAAAGTTGCCTTTTCATCGTTTTCAAGCTGGTCCTAGTGCCTAATCATTTTGGTGATCAGAACTGCTTGAAAATGAAATTACAGATCCAACATGGGTGTCAAAAATGTTAAATTATAAACAGGTGTGTAAAGAAGATGTATTTAAGCTCAGAGCTCTTTGGAAGACCTTTTTAAAATTTAAATGTTTTGGCTTTGAAACAACTTTGTCCCCTAATATCAGTTCATTAAAAGGTGCCTCCTTTCACAAACTATACTTGAGTCAAGAGCTGAATAAGAATCTGCAACTTTGATTCTACCTTAAGCATGTCAAGTGTAGTTGGCACAAACCCAAAGCAACATTTTTCCCCAGCATAGTAAACAGTTCTTTAAAGTTTGAACAGAAGTCAACTATTTTAAAGCAATATACAAATGTGTGGCTTACAATTTTTAATATCGTACTGCAGTGTTCAGAATCCCACTCGCATAGTGCTTGAAATCACTCCCTGCATTTGAAAATGTCTGAAAAAAAAAATCTGACACTAAAAACTACTGCAAGAAAGCCAAGCGCCCATTCCTTTTATTTTTACATGTACTGTCAATTTACAGTGCAAAACTATGCAATTTAAGGTGGCATTTGGAATTTAAATACTGACTCAAGATTTCATTTTTCCTTCTACATGATTACAGTACATGATTACAGTACAGTTCTTAGGAAAACATTTTCTGCAGACTTGTGTATTTTGAAATGAAGAGTGTGAATATGGACTTTAGAGTGCATTTCAGGTACAGTGGCCATACATTTTGTAATTGCCTTTGATTTATTAAATTGATTTAAGAGGTCTTTAGAGAAGAATTCTGTTTTAAGAATGAGTCAAACGTACAACTTTCTCTTCGGTCCTGTGTTTGAATTTTGTCAACGCATCTTTTGACTACATAATTTGTCAGCTTTTATCCTAAAACCTAAAGCTTAGTGCTGCCGATATTTACCTTCGCGATAGTTTCACAGCCCAGGTTTGTTTAACAGCTACATGGGAAATTAGTTTATATGTTGACATTTGGAAGCAGAAAGCTTGATGTAAAATGTTTCATTTTGTTCCCCCACAAATGACCAGTTTCACATAGGAAACCAGATGCTTCCAAAAGAATGTCATACACCCAAAGAGAGAACTTACGGATATGTATTTTTTAAAGAATGTATAATGTGAAAATGTTTGCTTTTGCTTGTTTTGTACAAAGTAATAAATACCTATGACTTGAGAGCAATATAGTACTAATAAAACCTTATTCATGTCACATTAAGCATTCAGTGTGCTTCGACTGTTGCTTGCCTCCTAACAGGATTGACAGCTTTTATTCTATTACATTTCATGGAGACGTTTTGGGGAGTGGCGCTCCAGGTTCTGGCTGTGACTTTACGAATACATCCGGTAGAGATTTGTCCTGCAGAAGAAGAAGCATTAGTATACGTCATACAAGAAAGGAATTGGGGGCAAGAAAAAAAATTATAAAAATTCTCACCACTAAAACCTTCAGTGCTTTCAAATCATCCAAGACAGCGTTACACATATTTATTCCGTCTGTCAGGGCAGCAATCCTGGTAGAAATTTCACCCACTTCCTGCAGCATTGAGTTAGACTTTGTTTGTTTGCATGAAAAGCATTATTTTGGGTTTTAAAGCACCTGCAAGCCATAATCATAACTGAGCACTTGGACTCCAATACGGTTGTTGTTGTAAAGTTACAGCCAGTTATTTACCTTCACCTTTACAGCTGAAACAGTTTGGACAGACATCTCTTATGTTGGAACTGACCTGGTGCGCCAAGCCCAGAGTATCAGCAGCATCCTCTGAGACACCTGCTAAAGTAAACATGATTAGAATGACAAACTTACTGTTTTTAATTTTGATCCTCGAAGATTTTACCTGTGCCCGAAGCCATGGCCGTACATGTAACTCACCGGCCAAGTCCGTCGGTATTTATTAAAGCAGTTACAGGTGCTTTACATTTTCCTAATTGGTCTACCGCGTGATGACGTAATGCCTAAACGTGCAACAATCCCATAAACGCAAAATATACAACTAATGTAAGTATTTGTTTTCTAGTAATATTACTTAATAATACATTTAAGTAATTACATTTCATAAATTACTGAACCGCATATGATGGGTCGGTCAGTGGGTGGAGCCAGTACTAGTACATGATCGGTCAATCGACGACGCAGGTTAATGTCAGGGACTGTTTAAGAAAGAAAAACGGAGGGATATATATTAAAAGAAATACTAGTACATTTTTACAGATATATTGCCTATATTTTTTCATGTAAGATTTACGCATTTACTTAATTGTTTTAGTAACTTACTGACACATCCATAATATAATTTATTATTATTATTTATGTGTTTATTTATTTCCATCATTAAATAATCATATATGTAAAATATTATGAATTATTTATTTTGTGGGTTATAGCTCTTTTGTTCGGAGCACGCAGGGACATGGAGGAGAAAAAAACGAGCTCTGTAGTTTTGATCATTGATATAAATAATTTAATCTTATCAAATTTTGCTTCTCCAGTTCCGCAGATATATTGGCTTTGATTTAATAAGTGAATTTCAGAGTAATAAATAATTAAATCGTTATCTGACTTTATGTTCTTTTTAATTTTGTTCATTTATGTTGTTAAAAAAAACATGAACAAAAAATTGTGTAATAAAAGATCTTGTTTGACTTATGAAGTTTGTTTCTCGTCAACTAGGCGGTTGTGCCTTTAAAAAAGTGACGTCATAATTTAGAGGAGTAACCCGGAAGATCTCTATCATTGCATCAGGCATCAACATGCTCCTGGTTAGTGGGATATGACGCTTGTGTTTCGCTTGATTTTATGCGTTCGATTGCATTTGTCGCTGCTGGATTGATCAAATATAGAGGATCTTACTGTTCAGCGGTCGCTGGTCGACTAAGAATCGAAATGTGTAAAGAACCGAAGACTAAACTGCTCCGCTTGTACCCGCTAACCTCCAACGGACCGACGGTTCATCAAGAGACCCGAACAGGTACCTGTGACAGCGTGTCACTCAGAATAAAAGAGTGTCCTGGTCACTTTATATAAATAGATAGTTAAAGATGTAGCTGAATGGGGGGAGAGTTTAACTAACACGCATACTTTTTTTTTTTTTTACTAAAAACACGTTAGCTTTCTGAAAGTGATGCTAACTTTGATTTTTTTTCTAAAGGACCCTTTTCAGTCTAGCATTGCCAGGTCCAAATGAATCAATGTAGTCTCTCTCTTACCGTAATACAGGAAAATGGGAATCTACTTTAAGTGCATTTCAGTAAAAGGTAATTCAAGATGCTTTACGGGATGAAAACGTAAAACAAGAAACTACATTTTCTTAAATGTTGACATAAAAAAAACATCATAGAATATTGTAGAGAAAACTGCAATTAAACTACAATCAAAGGCAACTCTGAATAAGTGATTTTCCAGTCTTATTTGAAGAAACTCATGGCTCCAGCAGTTTTGCAGTGTACATACCCATATGTGTATGTAATTGTTTGCTTTCATCTTAATGTTATTTCTTCTTAGGTCCAATATTTATCTTTAATGTCTGTATGCTGTGAGTGTGTGAAACTGAAGTCAAATTCTATGTTTGTGCACACCATCTTGGCCATTATACTGGAACTGGTTCTGATTCCCATTCATACCAAACTGAATGTAGCAGGGGAATGGCTGCAAAAAGTGCAGGTGCAACTTGCTATAGGATAACTGATCAAAAACTGAAGGGGTGGTTATGTATATATTTTTCAATGACAGTTAATATAATGATCCATCTTTTACTGGAGAAAAGATTAAAAGATGGATCAATGCACCCATAAAGGCCCCAAAATGTATTTATTAATGCCAGTGACAAGCAAAAGTGAACTTTTTATTAGAGCTATAGATCATGCTATTGATGATATCTGCTTACGGTTTTGTTTCCCCTCAGATGACTCTGAAATCCTGAGCTGCACAGTGAAGGCCCTGAAAGACGGTCACATTGTTGCAGTGCCGACAGACACTATCTACGGTCTGGCATGTTTGGCCCAAAACTCTGAGGCTGTCAAAAAAATCTACGAAGTGAAAGAACGGAACGGACAGAAGCCGCTGGCGATCTGTGTTGGAGAAATTCGGGATATCTATCAGTGAGTGTGCTGATCTCAGTTCTGATTAGACTCTGACTTAGGAGAGTCCTTTAATTTGATCTTTTGGACTCATGAAATCACTGCATGTTCTGTTTAGTTATTAATGACGTAGGGAACCACTAACCTCTTGTTTCCTGTGTAGGTACTGTAAGGTGAAGGTGAAAGAGGATCTTCTAGGTGATTTGCTGCCTGGTCCCGTCACTCTTGTGTTTGAAAGATCTGAAAAGCTGAATGCAAATCTCAATCCTTTTACTTCAGTAAGTCTCCTTCTTTAAACAAAATCCCAAGTGATGTGTCTTTGCAGGTTGTCAGCTGTTATTGTTTTGTCCCTTAGCTTGTAGGCGTTCGTATTCCTGATCATGCCTTTATGAGGCGCCTCTGCCAGATGTGTGGGGAACCATTGGCACTGACGAGTGCCAACATCAGCTCAAATACCAGCACAGTGGAAGTACATGTAAGTCTCAGAAACATTGGGTTTTTTCAAGCATGTGCAGCATTTGGTAAGCTGAATATGGCTGTTTTCCTGTTAAAGGAGTTTCAGGAGCTCTGGTCAAAACTGGCTGTGGTGGTGGATGGAGGACCAATAGGAGACCAGACCCGACAGGGGTCAACTGTTATTGATCTGTCGATATTTGGTAAATACAGAGTCATCAGACCAGGCTGGTAAGTTTTTCTTTTTTCTTTTTATTTTATTTTTTTTTTAATATTATCAGGTATTGCTGTTTGAAGTTTTGTTCACTACTACTACATTGTCTACTCAAAGTTTTTCTGTAGAGGGGCAGGGTTGTCACATTTATTAGCACCCTTAATATTTGTTTCAATTTACCAAGTGCTCCCCACTCTGCTAACATTTAGTCCATCACAGACCTAAAAATATAGTCAGAAGTCAGGGAAGCAGAAGCGATGATCTGCAGAAATTGAATGACGCGAAATGGTCAACTTCAATGTTGAAAGTACAATATTGACAACAAGGATAATAATAACTGTGCCATTATTGATGACAATTTTTTTTTTTCGGTGAATGAATTTACTCAAATATTTTTCCCCCCATTTTACCAATGTGAGAAAATGCTACTCTTGAATTTGAGGCTTTATATGCATTTTTACTATAGGTTCCAGTAAATGTCCTGAGCAATGATTAGTAGTACTAGAATTAGAAGGAATTCTGCTAAATTATTTTAGGTAATGACTACAGTAGTAATTTTTGGATTTCCAAACACATCATCTTTTCTTATTTATACAGATTAATAGAGTGTGGTCTATTGCTCTAAAACAGGTGTTTAAAGTTTTAAACTAAGCAAACTGACTTCAGATTTGTGGATTTTACAGAGGTAAAATTTTTAATTTCTCATAAAAATTCACTACAACATTGTTACAAGGTACTCAGTAAAAATCCTACTGTGAATATGAATTTCAATTAAAGTTAAGGACATATTTTAATCAGCTGTTTGACATTAATTAGTCTAACAAAATACAACCTCAGCTTACTACAGGCTCCCCACAAATGCCTGCCAGCTTGGATTAAATACCACAGAGTCAGCTCGTCACATTGTGTTTATTTTTGCCGCTCTGACTCTTAGCTCCATCGCCGTCCCCCTCTCCTAAAACCTCCCACGCTCCCTCTGAAGTGGACTTGGTGTGTTAAACGACAAATGACCCTAATTCTGTTTTCAGTGCCCTTTCTGCCACGCTTGACGTGTTGGAGCACAAATACGGACTGTCAGAGAACTCAAAGGAGGAATGACCTTTAAACCCTACGCACTCCAAACGCACGCTAAGACGCACAACCAGTTCTGGCCCAAAGATACTCAGGAAACTAAGCGTATGAGAGTTGGACATTCCCATGGAAAACAAAAAATGTAGGGAAAACCTAAATCTGTCATTGCAGATGGTGGCTCTCTTCTCAAACTGAGAGTTGCTTTTTTTTGGCAATTTGTTTTGTTTGTTTCTTTAGTTTTGTTTTTTGCTTAACCACTGATCATGATGTGGTGCAGAGGTTCAACATGTCTCTGTTCAGTTTATTCAGGAATTCAATAAATGAAATGAGCTGAATCTTCTGTAATATTTTTCTCTTTAAATCTTTTTATGTGAAACTTTTTATTGTGTGCCTAAATTGTCCTGAAAGGATTAGTCTTCAATAAATCATTTATTATTGTAACTCAGCCACAGGTATTTTATATCTGACTTATTTTACCATTTGTTGTTCCATTTGTCTTCTTTCATCCTTAATTGGACCTGGGTTTTTTTATACCTTAATTTCATCATCCTTTTAATGTAGTACTATAATAAAAGCTTTATTTATCTTTTCACTGTGTATTAAAAACTTTATAAGCCTTTGCAAACATTTTAAAGATGATATTAAGTACATATTTATCGAATGTTCATGGACAATAAAATCACTTAACGTATAAATTCTCACTGCAGGGTTTCACAAAAAAATAAAAAGATTCTTCCAGTGTTGTCTGCATTTTTGTTGACATCAAAAGAAACAAGCAGGATTAGGCTAACTAAAGTTAGCCCAAACAGCTGATTCAGAAAGGTTTGCTTTAACAAGTAACAGTCCTTGGGCATTTTTTTCAATTGTACATAAAACAAAAACTATAGCACTGATAACTAAATCTCCTTTTGCTAAGTACAGGTAGGCTACTGTTAGTCTTGCTCATCTTTCTCTTATACAAAAAAATGAAAATAAAAATATGGTCGTTTTGGTGAACTGAGCTTTACTTAACCGAGGAACAATTAAATCATCTTTGTGATGAATGAAGTGTTTTTGAATTTAAATTCTAATTGAATTGATGACAATATTCTTGCATTTTGTCAACCATCCAGGTTGATTAGTGTCACTCTGCATTCAGCAGACCATGCTGATCAATTCACCAAGTTTAACTGTTTTGGTGGAAAAGAAAGACGTCAGGTAAATGCAGGGCAGCAGGTCCTTCTGCCACCAGATGAAGAAAAAACAGAAGTGATGTAGTATTGAGGTGAATTAACTCTCAGTCGTCATACATGAGTGATGAATAGATTTGTGGGTTGGGCATGTCATTGACTTGCTATACAGTGCACTGTATTTCTTTTGCTGTCGTGGCAGAGATGGTCTCCAATAACCTCTGACCTACTCAGAGATAAAAACATTTCTTTCTTACATGTACACTAACATTAGAAAAAAATGTCCCTCATCAATATTCTCTTGGCATAACTGGTGGCATGTTTCACCACTTTTCTTGGCAGAATTAGACTTCATTTAATGTGATTGGTTTCCTGGCACAAAGTCAGCACTTTTTTTTTAACAACACTGAGGTCCTTGTTTAAATGGCTATACGCTGCTCTTAATGTCAACCTGCTTTATGCCTTCCAATACAGGTTGTTATGTGTATTCAGGATCATTTACCCTGTTGGGTTACCCCATTATGGCCAAGTTTCAATCTTCTATCTGGTAAGCTGAGGTGAAATTCAAGAATTTGAAAGAAATCCTTTCATTTTTCTATATGTCTCTGGAAGTAAAACCCACATCATAATATCACCTCTCAGCACTTTGTACATTGTTCAAATGTTGGCTAGCCTCATACTGACTCATGAGCCATAAATGATATATTTCTAATGAGAAATGCTAATCACGTTTTTGATCAAATATGGATAATTTATATTGTACTCAACATTCTCAATTTAAAGATTTCTTATTAATTATCATTGAAAATCTTCTCCTAAAACTTTTCAAAAAATGCCAATTTACTTTAACCAACTCAGCTGTCCTGTCCAATTTGTACCATTCTTCAGTTGCGGTTCAGAGTAGCACATCATTTTTCAGGCCACGCTTTGTGCGCACCTGGACTAGATTCAATAGATCAGTGTCAGGAACCAAACCAGTTTAAATCATTTCTGCCACAGGTTAAATAACCTTCCTGATGGCTACATAAAGCACATAATGGAGATGCTAAGGGACAATAACTGTAAGTATGCATTTGATTATTTGTGAATTAACATAAACCAAAGCTTGTGAATCTAATTATTGGTTTTTTTATTTTTTTTATTGAAGTTTTATGTTGTATTGTTAGTCCACATAAAGGCTAAGAATGCTCTTAATTTATATTTTTCATCAATTTAATATATAAATGTGTTTTTTTTTTGTTGTTGTTTTTTTTTTCTGTATTATTTTCAAGTCAATGTTCAACTCCACACCTTAGTCTAAGAGAAGTGATACAAATCAAGTCATGCACAAACAAAAAAATTATCTTGGTCAAGTCATTTGAAATCCTTTAGTGATGTGATGAAGAGAAAAACTATACTGTGGAGATAGACTTCACAATTTGTTTTTGATTAAGAGGTGCAAGAACAAATAAGACATGCCCATTTCAGAGTCCTGGACTATTAAGTATTAAGCAAAAAATTCTCTCAGCATTTTCCCGAAAGACCCGGGATACTGTGTTTTAGTCACAAAAATGAGCATTTGTTGCCACTTTGATCACTCTGATACTGTGAAGCATAATTCTGTTTCAAGCTCACATCAGCCACTGCTGTTTCTCTTTATTGTACTGCTCGACCCAGCGGCGGGTCAGTTCCAGATAGTGTTCAGGTCCATGTGGCTGATAGTCCAAGTACACACGGGTCACGGTTTTCTTAGGCATGGCCCTCTCTATCTGCGTCCCTTCATGCCATTCGTTAAAAGACGTGATGGTGACGATCTCCGGCCTCACGTTGAGTGCTGCCTGCAGAGCCGTCTCGTAGTAGCGACCGTTGACCCTGTTGCGAGTGTTGTGGTTGTTCCATGGTCGAATGCTGGTGTCGATGTAACCGGGTCCAACGCTGGGGATGAAAAGGAGGTTGTTCCCATCACAGAAGGCCTTAATGGCCTGCCAGTTCTGGTGGGAAGAGCCGAACGAGAAGCCGTTGGAGGCGAAGTAAGTGTACATTCCGTCGAAGCCGCCTGCCAGGATGTCATGCTTGTGACGCTCCTCAACAATCAGAGCGATGAACATGGAGTCGTATGGGGAGTCGCGCACACTGTGGGAGCCGGTGGGAGTCAAAAATTCAGACCAGGACTCTGGTGGAGTGAGATAGGAGTCATAGATGTAGAAGAGAGGAAGACTCTTCCCTGTGCTGGAAGTGAACTTGTAGAAGGCCCCATGATCACCGTACCTTCAGAGACGAGGATGTGAAAAAAAAAAACATCAGCAAGGCAATTTATTTCAGTAATTTAATTCAAAAAGTCAAACTTCACGCACAGAGCGATACATTTCAAGCATTTCTGTTGCAGTTTAAATGAATAAAAGCTCTAAGGTTAGTTAAAACTAAAATATGTTGATGTTGTTACTGCACACTCAATGCTAAGTCTGTGCTCCATTTGCATGAATTACAGCAACAGTGTGGTAAAGCATCAAACTGGCTCTGCAGAGGTTTATTTAATAGTGACCTCCAGTTTGTCTGCACTGTTGGCTCTGCTGTCTCATCTTCCTGTTGAATACTTTATTCTCTGTGGATTTTAGGCCAAGTGATTCACTGATTCAAATCAAGCAGATTATGAATCTTTAACTAGATACTAGTACATCTTGCATTTTAGGAAGGTGCCAAATACTTTTGCCTAGGTATTAATTTTATCAGTTTGAGGTGATTCTCCACAATTTTTGAAAGGGTTTTCCTTCATCCTCTTTAAAAGGCTTTAATTATCCCCTTTGCATGTGCACCTCACCTTTTTTTTCTATACCACACCTTCTGTTTCCATGCAACTTTCCTATAGTTTGCCTAAATGCAGAATTCTGTGAATTGCCAACTTCTTCAGCAATTATCTTTTGAGGCTTGAACTCTTTGTAAACTAAGGTGTCTCTAAATATCTGCTGAACAACTCTTACATCAGTTCCCCATGCTGATAAAGTGTGATGAATCTTTGGATTGCTTTTAGGGATTGTAAGTGCTTTAATGCAAAGAGCTATATTGTTAGTTGATTAAAAAAATGCCTGGGGTCATTTGAAACATTAATATACGCCATCAGTGACACATTAGTAAAGACTACAGTTTATTTTTCCAGCAAATGAAAGGTGTATATTTTTTACCCAACACATCCTCACCAACTTTGGTAAAATATCTCAATTTTCAGCAAAACTATAAGAGTTTGGTTTAAGTTGGAGGCTTTGCATTAAGAATGTACTTTATGCACACTTTTCTTTATGCCCTCTTTGATACTAAAAGATTGAAAAGAAAACTGCTTTCATATCAAGAACCCATTTATAAGTCATGAACCTGGCCTTACATAATCTAGAAAAGCAACCTAAAAGTCTTTCTATATTTGACCCTTGTTCCCTCAGCTATGCATGCAAACCTAATGGATTACTGTTTGAGTTGCATCAGTGATGAAGTTCAGCCAGACAAGCACCTACCTGTCAATTATGTACTTGATGTTGTCGTGCAAAGTCTGGTCATTTCTTCCTCTGTAGGGTTGGATCTGAAATGCGACCTGAATAAAAAAAATCCAGGAGAGAATGCATATTGTGTTTTAACTCATATCACATTCCAAACTTTTGCCAATATCTAAGTGATCCTCCCTGAGCTGATAGCTAACCTTTTTGAGCATAAGGTTAAAAGTAATGTATAACTGAAGTTAAGCAGAAAGTACTCAGTGAAAGGCTTTTAAAGTCAAATTTTATTGTAAGTAAAAAGACTTAGAAATCCCTTTACCACTGCTTTTCTTCAAAACAAAGTAAAAATTTTGCCCCAAGATAAAAGAAGCATAAGGAACACTCGCTTCATGTTGCCTTGTAGCATATTACAGCATTTTTGTGAGAATAATTCCAAAAAGAAAATAACTACTAACTGAACTCCTGCGCTTTCATGTCAAATTCCCCAACAATATATCATATTTTTTTATCCTGTGCAGAGCCCTCTGGGGAGGACTCTGAGACATTTCCGTGTTTAAGAGAAACATCAATTTTCAGTTAATGGCAAAGTAAAAAGCTGCAATATTACAAAAGAACTGAAATGGCGTGTACACAAAAGGTGCTAAATCTGAATATTTTAAAAGGAGGAGTGAAAATTCAGTGAGTTTTATTATGCATAATTCAGATTGAAACACCACTTTAAAAGCAGTGAAAATCCACAGAGAACAATGTGAAGAGAAAAATGGCCTTTTAAAATGACAGCAGTGACTAAATGGATGTCATCAAGGGAGCTCCGTGAGGAAGCTAGGATCAGCCTTAAGTACTGTGCAGCATGTAGTACATCATTGGTGTTATATCAGATGTAATCTTTGCTAGATTTTGAAGCACATCGCTGTTGTTTGGCACAATGGGAGTCTGTATTAGAGATATGGAGCACTTCTGGAAACCACTGTCAACGTGACAGTCATCAGAAGTCTACTAAGAAACTAAGCGGATGTTTGCACAGTACCTTCACACAAAATGATATCCAATTTTGAAGCTGCTTTACAAAAAAATATGAAAGGTGTGATGCTTATTTATATTCAGTCTATTTACTCTGACGCCCCTAAAAAAGCCCAGTCACTTAATTTGTAGAGTTCACCTGAATTCAGTTTAGTCCCAGTATAGATCCATCTGTGAAATAGAAAGCATGGTTCGTTTTAAAACAAATGAAACAATCTCATCTAAAAATGGAAATCATTTGGGCCAACTGTCAACCTGTCAAGACATGGCTCTGATGTGAAAGACAAAAAAGCACAACTTTTACATCTGACACAAAGCTAACACTTTCCAGATTAATAATAATAATAATAATAATAATACAGATAGTTAAACGTAGTGTGATGGTCCAAGTCCTCATTGCTTCTTTTGAACCTCATGTATCTGTGGTCATTATTGGAACCATGAATTCTGTTAATCCTGAAGGACAATGTCCAGCCATTAGTTTGTGACCTTAATCTCAAGCGTATTTAGGTCATGTAGCAAAGCAATGATCCAGAGCATACCAGCAAGTCCCCTCTTTGTGAAACTAAAGAAAACAAACCAAAAGTTCCCTTGTAAAAGTCTGGATAAGATGGGTCCGAATACCCCATAGTGATGTAGAAGACTCATTGCCAGTCATCATGCATGCTTGATAGCAGTTTGTTGCTTTCAGGGGCAAATTACTTTTTCAAACTAGGCCAGCTTTGTTTTGATAGGCCTTTTCCTCGTAATGAAAAAGTCACCATTGAAATACTGCATTATTGTCCATGCTTAACTGTTAATATTTATTTGTTGATTTGACTCGTTCGTTTGGCACAACAAGAGAAATCTGCAAGGAGTAGGATATTTGCTTCCACAGACATGTTAACTTACAGAGAGTGTTCAGTCAGCATTAATTAGACAAGCAGCCCAAAGCACCGGAGTAAGGCTGGAGGAACTGCACTGGACTGAGAATATTGTTCTTCAAAATATTGACTTATGGAGGAAAATGTACATAACCAAAATGTATGTCTGAGTTCCCAGACATTTACACTTTGTGTTGGAATATCATATAAAATATGAAACATAGAAATAATATAAAATTTGCTGTTGTATGGTGACAAAAATGCTGTGAAAGTACTTTTGTGGACCCTATGAATGATCTGTCAGGATTCTGTGGAAGGCTTTAAGGGTGACAAAACTGTTGCTTTGATTTCTCTGTAACTGCAGACCTTAGGAAGTATAAATCACAGCTTTGAGTCTAGGTTTATGAAGCCATAACTTTCTGGACGTTGTCAGCCTTCAGTGTGAACCTCTTCTGAGGAGCTGAGGATATAAAGCCACATGATTATCACCCAAAGGGGAGACACAAATTTGTTTCTCGGCGGCTCAGAGTAGAACCGCTACAGTACTAATTTCCCCAAATACTGCCCAATAAATCTCTTGTAAATTTTAAGTAAATGAGCTCAAGCATTTTTATACTTCATAAGCACTGACAGCACGACCCTGGAACAACTGCAGCATGATTTATGCTGAGCAGGGAGAAATTTAATGCCATCTCATGCAGAAAGCACAAAGGGAGGAATTAGGGCAAACACAAAGCTCCAGATTTTTGCAATAATTAGATAAATTCCAACTAAGCTTAGGACATTTCTGTAATTGAGAGTGCCACTTTCTTTTGTGGTCACACCCCGTGGACAGACACAACAACAAAGAGTCCCACAAGAAAAAAATTGTGTTATCCAGAGACAAAAATAAAACAGTCTGTCTGATCACAGGGCACCCATGGGCCATATTCCCCTGTGCACTTGACATGGCCTACTTACGAGACAGAACTTTTACAGCCCCTCCGGGTGCAGATTGTTCAGAGGCACAAACTGACTCATGGGACCTTTGATGCTCACTTCCCCTCTGCTCATTTCCTCCCCACACCCAGCTCCCAGGACACCCCACCACCACAAACCCTGTCCCCACCAAGCCACCCCCATGCACACTCCCTTAGGCAGAGAGACTATTTCAGCGCCGGTTCGAGTTGAGGTCGAGAATCAGCAGCAGCAGCAGCGGTTGTGCTTTTGAGCTTTCCAACTCTACTGTGCATAACACTCAAGCTGTGTGTGGGAGCTGCTGAAAATACCTTTCACCTTATATAATGAAAACTCCATTGGTTTCTTTTGTAACATTACCCAAAGATAGGTGAAGGGTTGTTTTTAGGTGTATAGTGTGGGATTGCTGGAATGATTGATGTCGGGTGTACAGAAGTTTTTCCTTTTTCTTTTTTCCAACAAAATTTCTTACAAGTCAGAGAGCAATGGAAAGTTGTCGTTTCAAGTTGTCCGTACCCGGCCATTTATGTCAATATTTAGTTTCAAAACCACTTTTTTCTGAGAGAAGTTTACGTCCACTTGTTATCTGTATTAATATTGTATCCTGAGATTTATTTTAGATTTTCTTCTGGGAGATGGAATGAATATATGTGACTTTTTCTAAGTATTAGGCGGATATGTTTTAATTTATCTTTGGATTTTCTCTACTATATAAATCAAAATATTCATGGTGAAACTTATGACCCTAACTCACACCAAAGTGTTGCATTTGTCCTCCTCACTTGTCTTTTAATTTTTGATTCTTTGAACCCAGGAAAAACGGCTCAATCCAACATTCTGCACTTTGCACTCTGAAATTCTAAGACTGCACAAAAAGAAGCAGTCGGAAAATAAATGTTGCTCTCTGCAGAAAGACTGAAAGAAGCTTGGTAGGAGGATGCTTAGAAAAACTGCACTAAGTTTTTTTTTTTTTTTTTTTATTCACAAGCTTATAAGAAGAAATCTCCTAATTCAATAAGATGCTGACATGTTGCAGAATGAAAATGGTTTGAAGAATGTCACTTATTATTTTCTATTTGCGTTCAACAAAAATGCCACACTGACCAGAGCAGAGCTGACAGCAAACTCTGGTGATAAAGCCTATCTGTTAGCTTTGTTCCTGACAGCATCACGTGTGAAACCCTCACAAGCCCACTGTTGCATGTCTATTCTAGTAGTTCTTGTCTTGTCTCTCCGGAGATACTTTATTTATTTGCCTCCAGCCAGATAACTGAAGACATAAATGTGATATAAAATCTGACAGTCTGGCCGGAGCCCACTGCTTCTCACTAGAGCTCTTTATAGAGAGGACTCTTATCTGTGCTGGAAAATGAACTATCAGGATGTTCATGTGAGAATATGAACTGTCATTTTACTGAATTGCGTCACCATCAATCATCTTCATAATTACATCACCAAGTTGTAAAAACAATTTGTTTTGGATATTCAAGCAGTATAGATTTTCTTAACAACAGTGGTCTAAAAGGGATACATTTGCAATCAAAGATCATCATATTAAGGAACTCTGCAAATGCACACTTCCTTGAAAAGTGTACCTTTTTACCTTACATTCTGTAATGTTTAAACTATGAGATTTGTTATATCTTTTTATGTTACAACAGCACAGTCTCTTTTTCCTCCATGAATCGGTTCTCAACAATTTCCTCATATGAACTTCATACCCTTACAAGTCAATGTTTATCCGTGAATATTCAATACTCTAACTGAAAGCAGGCAGCTAAAATAGGGCAGGACTATTTCATTTTTTCTGACATCTGAAAATAAAGGCTGCAATGTTTGATTATGTCTATGTATCTCTCCATGTAAAAGTCTTGTTTCAATTTTATTTCTCTGGTCTACATAAGCCAAATAGCTGGATGACATTAAAAAATATCATAAAAATAACATATTCATGTGTAAGTTCAGGAGAGTGGACATCAGAGTAAAGCTGCTCGAGCCTTTAAGGAATCATTTACGTCTAATGATGTTTTCAGAGTCATTTTGAACGATGAGGAACTATTTTCTGCATCAATTTGAATATGGCATTTCCAATCTTATGTAAGAATTTCTGTGTGATTAAAAACAACTCCCACCCTCATTTTCACAGCTCTACCAACTGGAGTTTATCACCTACAGCTCCACTCAGATACAGTTTGCAGCTGTTCACAGGTTGCTAATGCTTCATAAACCTGGTTCCCAATTATGAGTCTTCACATTTGGCATGCTGCATGTGGGAACAAATATATTAGTTTATTTGTCAGAATCAGTGCACATTATTAACAAGTACAGTATTTTAAAATGACAAGAAAGTAGGAGTGACATGCTTTTAATTTATGTTCATGTTAATTACTAACCATAATTTCAAAGTTGTGGGGGTTTTCAGGCCAAATATAAATTAAGACAAAAAGATGTTTCTATGATTCCAAATGTGACCTTAGTGTTGCTAAAGTTGGTTGGGGTTTGTCCACTACTGTAAATCAATGCAAATATACTGTAAGTCAATTCTCTGTTACTCAGTAGCAGAAGGCTCCAGGCCAGAGCATCTCCTCTGAACTCTGAAAGCCATGGACGTGTTTTATGGTACTTTTAGGTTGGTCCATTGTTATCATTTTTAACACAATGTTACACACTAACGAGAGTTAAAAATAAATCATTTAAATAATGTCAAGTTGAAAGTATTCAGGGGGACACAAGGCTTTGATTATAATTTTTAAATTAAAATTGTAAAGGGCAATTTGTTCATTTTTATTTTTTTCTGCTCAAAAACAAACTGAACCTGTTCTTCTGCTAACAAGTTGATTGAGTGGAAGAGAAGGAAGATCATAATGCAATTATATGACTACCATTTTAATATTTGATCAAGGCCAGCATTATAACATTATATTATAAATTATATATTATCTGAACTAGTACCTCGTTGTTCTTACTACCAGTGTAGTTTTACTAGAAACTGAAAAGTTTTATCTTTAAAAATTGCATTTTTATATCAGAATTACAATATTTTTAACAGATTTGGGGTTCATCTTTTCTGTGTCGGAGGTAAAGAACAAATTAAAACAGAAGAACAGAAGTAAAAATAGGCTTATTTTTGCTCTGTTCAGTAGGGATCCGTGTGGTTAAAGGTTAAGCATGATGGAAAACCTTTAGCTGCATTAATGATGAAATATGACCTTGTCCACCAGCAAGGTGTCGACTTTAAATAGCACAATCAATAAAGAAATTAAACCTTCCCTCTTGCAATAACAAATTTGATATTCACAGTGAAAAATATAGAAGAATACCCTGTTTTACAGCAGATTGCTCCTTTCAGAGCTTTCCTTCCACCAGTTTCCAGCACTTTATCCGCTCTTACAAAATGTGCTGATGCATTTTACCTTCAGGCTGTGTCTGTATGCAGCATCCAGTACAGCTGGCACCAAATCCTCAGCGGGTTCCCCGTTGTCATCAGCGAGGCCGGGAGGATACCAAGACAGCACCAGAACCCCTAGAAACACAAAGATGATTCAGGCTGGAAATCTGTCTGCGCTTCCGTCTTCATGTTTTCATCCTTCACATCGAGTAGTCATGGTATTTATATTTACTCATCTGCATTTCTCATCTAAGCCTGTCATGTCGCGTTTAGGAGGAAATCTCTCAGCACACTGAGGCACTTTGACAGCTCATGCATTTGAAAGCATTATGCAGAATCATCCACTGATACTGGCAGAAAAGGGACTTAGCAGAGCCTTACAAAAGTATTCATACCTCTTAAAATTTTCCTGATATTTTTTTTTCCATGTACAACCATATCACAGTACCAGTGATATGGTTCAATAAAATATTATTGAAAAGATCTTTTATGTTCCCTTTCTTTAAATTCCTCTTCCTGTTCCATTCGCTCAGTGAAATACATTAAATGGATCAAATCAAGAGAACAGAAATCAGAGAAGCAGCGAAGAGGCTAAAGGGAACTCTGGAGGAGCTGCAGAGAACCTCAGCTCAGGTTGGAGAATCTTGCTGAACAACTATTACCAAAGTCATGAAAAAATATATATGGAAGAAAACCATAGTCAAAAGAGAAAGTATTCTTAATCTTTATAGAAAAAAAAACAACAATGCAATCGATGGAAAAATAGTGGTGTCACTATGGCTTATAAATGTCCCAATACAATACAAATTGAAGTTCTAATATGAAAAATGGAAGGTACTTCATAGCTACTACATTTGTCACTGGCATCTGACAGGAACTGGCACATAAGATATGCAAATAAAAATCCATTAAAATTATTAGAGTTCAACACTCTCTCATACGTATGTGTATAAACAGTGTGGCTATTTCTATTCATTTTTGTTGTCGACGTTGATGCGGCAGAATATAATTTATCAGCTCAAGCGGAAGTGTTAATAATTTGACTTGTTATGTTTCTAATTAATTGGGCTGTTTTAACTAAGCATTAACAGCCAGCTCTCCACTGGTCCATCTGTTAAAGTGATGAGCTTTCAGAGGATTGTATGGCGGTGGGCTCATCAGTCCGGATGGTGTACAATAACCCAGTGAGCCGCGGGACAGAAACATCAGGGCCTGTCACGTGTAGTCAAACACACGAGTCTGTTACTTGACACCCTGCAGCAGACTTCAGATGTCTTTTAGAGCCAAAGAAGCTTTTGGGAAGGCAACAACATGTACGCATTCATAATTTATGACACTTTTCAAGAAGTACTTGAAGTTCACAACACTGGAGACACTGGACCTGGCTGATCATTTAATACTTTGTATCATTTTACTGCTGATGGATTCTTCTCATTTTATTTTTTTTTTATTTTCAAGCAAGGCTATTTACAGTGCCTTGCAAAAACATGCAGGTGTTGGACTTCACATTTTATCACTGTGCAACCACAAACATCAAGACATTTTATGAGGATTTATTGCAACAGACAAAATACACAATGTTGAGATGTTGAAAAAAAAGTTAACCATGTGTTTTTCACGAATAAAAATTTGAAGTGTGGCATGAACTTGTTTTTAGCCCCTGAAGTTAATACTTTGTAGACTCACCTTTGTGATTAGAGTTCTATATCTTTTAGGGTTTGACTGAAGTTCTGCCTCAGATTCAGCTGGATTTCTGTCTGAACTTAGTTGTCATCTAACACATGCTTCCATCTAAACCATCTCATTGTATCTCTGGTTGATGAATTTCTGCCTTATCTTTTTTGAAGTCTCTGACAGGTTGTCTTCAGAACATCCCTGTTTTTTGGGGGGTTATCTTCTCATCAACTCTGACCTGCTTTGCTCTGCTGAAGAAAAGCCTCCTACCACCTTGCTGGAGTCAAACTGTTATGAGATTTCAAAAGCCAGTGGAGGATGAGACTTGGTCTTATCTGCTTGTGTCAGAGGAAAAAACCGAGCTTCGGCATTTTGTTCCAGATGTGAGCGACTTGAGATTTTGAAAGTTTGGCCATTAGTTTTCTAACCAAACCATCCTTTATATCTGACCTTTCTGGTGCCTTTTATGTTTCTTGTAATGATGTTTACTTCACAATGTTCTCTATCAAACATCTGAAGTCTTTATAAATAGCTGTATTTATGATAATAGATTACATTTACTGTCACATATGTCTAAAAATTAAATCCCAATAAAATACATTGGTGTTTTGGAATGTAACATGGAGAAAATAGTGAAGCTGTAAAGAAATATGAACATTTTTGCACGTCATTGTAAATCCATGAGCAGTAAACACAGGAGTGGATCGACAGAGAGTTTGCGGAGCTGTCCAGTGTATTTGTGGTGCTGAAACTGTTCAGCGTTCTACCAGATTTGTAAAGTGAAACACCAAAACAAACCAGGGAGCACCACGGAGCTGCATACCTGCTGCAGAGGCTCCGATCTGCTCCATGTGGGACTCCAACACGTCCGGATCCCGGGAGCTGTACGAATTCAGCTCCGGGTAGAAACTGGAGGCGATGTCCTCGGGCGGCATGTGTTTTCCTCTCGGGTAGCTGGATGCGACCTTGGGGTCCCAGTGTGGGACCAGGATGTGGTCCCAGTGGATGTATTTCCCGTCCATATGAGGGCTGCCGTACCAAGTGTAGTAAAAGATGTGAACATCGTAGAATATTGTCCCCTCTGGACCAGAGTTGGACAGAACTGCTTTTGTGTTTCCCCCTTGCGGGCGGGCTTGGACTGGGGACGCGGTGGCTTCCCGGGACATCCTCCCTCCTAAGATTGGTAAGAGGTCCAAGCCAGGAGCCAGATCCGAGAATCCGTCAGTAGGCTTCAGGGTCCTCAGTCCCATCAGAGACCCGAAAATGAAGAGGGTGAAAAGAAAAAGGGCAACGCAAGCCTTCCTCCGCAGCCTTGCCATGGTTGGTAGGGGTTGCATGGGATGAAAACGGCGCAAATAAACCAGTTTTCAGATGAAGCACAACTACAAAGCTGCAAACAACTCTCTGTAAGTGTCCCGATGGAAATCCAGCTGAACTATGCATGGCTGCAGTTCGATCTCAGCAGACAGTCTAGCGCATTTGTTTGGGAGATATTTAACTTTCTTTTGCTCCCCTTCTCTCTCATTTTGCTAATCTGGATCAGAAACTTCAGAATAATAACAAGAAGACAAAATCACCCTTCAAAAGCAGCACTCATGTTTCCTCTTGCTGAGCTCCAGCAGCAGCGACTCCATTCGCCTAACATCCAACACATGATCGGTGTCGGACCGCAGCAGTGATGCTCCACAGTGTCGGCGTTTGAAAGCCTCTGTGGTTGGCTGCTTTTTGTTTACAGTTTCTATTTTGGACGCCAAGGGGGCGGGGCCTGGCTCGTCATACTTTAGCCTCAGCCTCCTTTGCTGCACACCCCGGGCTCCATGTGGACTCCAATGCATCAGCATTTAAAGACGAGAAGGAAACAAAACAGCAGAGCATAAAAGTTTAAAAGTATATGCAGTTGTTGGCAAAAATGCGTGGGTGTGTGTGTGTGCACGCATGTGTTCCACTGTTTTGTTTTGTTTTTTCTCTAGTTAAATAAGTTTTACAGTGTCAAGGCATTTTCTCTTACTGTCCTCTAGTGGTTATTTCATGAAACAGGCGCCCCAGTATCTCATTAGGGTGCTGGCGGTACCCTAATGTGTTTAAATGCATTAGTTTTTGTATATATATATATATATATATATATATATATATATATATATATATATATATATATATATATATATGAAATAATAATAAGCAGAAATGGAGTATGCTATCCTGTGAGCAGAATCAATTCAAGTCATATGCAAATTAGCTCCTCAGTAACATTGTAAAAGAACCCTTTTCCCTCATTTTTTCGTGGGATAATCATCAAAACTGTGAAACCAATATCACTATATTGTCATAATAATTATGGTGGATGTAAAATGGAGAATGTAAAGAGGATATTTGTTTTTGTATTCTGCTGGGATATTTAGTAATTGAAAGTAGTTGGAACGACCCCAAAATGAATGTCATTTAGGGCTCATTCAGTAATGGACTGGATCTATTTTTGTGTGTGCGTGTGTGTGCGTGTGTGTGTGTGAGTCTGTTTTGTTCAAAAGCAGAGTTTTTTCCAACTGAGACAACAGACTTTTTGTTCAAATGAAAATGTTCCCGGAGAGGTATTGCATAGGTGACAGCAAGGCTTAAAAGTGTATAAAGTGATGTAACAAAGTGGTTCCTTTTTGTCTGCTGGCTCAGATTTAGCTGTGTGGTCCAGAAAACCTTGGATCGTGGCCGAGACATTAGACAGCACTTTAGAGGAACTGACCCCCACAGTGTGAATGAGCTGACGTGCTGATATGCTATGAAATCATTTTTTCTTATTCAATAAGTGCTTTATAATAAATAAAACCACTGTAGGCTTTAATTTGTCACTGAAGCCATCATTTAATTTCACTGGCTTCTCAGACAATAAGAGGAAACAAAATAAAAACGTTATAGTTAGAAACGACAGCACATGGGCATATAAAGTAACTTTCATAGTACAGTTGTGTATAATTATTGCTCATGTTGTTGAAACAGAAACTGTTAGGAAACATCAGGACCCATGAGCTTTTGGGTTACAAATAAAAGATGCTTAGAAGAAAGTTGCTGGAAGAAAGCAATTAAAAATTTGATCAAAATCTGCTAGAATCGATGTAGAGGACTTGATCATACGAAACAAGATGCTTTGGAGAGATTATTCTAAAAATGAACTTTCTGCCCTATGTGAGCAAAAAATAACACTTGACAACACACTAACACACTACCCCATGATAAAGGCCAATAAAGGGCAAATACTGCAAGAAAACATGTTAGAGATTCAAGACTTGAATCTCAGGAGGAGGAGATTCATCTTCCAGAGGGACAGTTTCTTATACAGGCAATAAAGTTCTTCTCCCAGAGTACAGCTGCATTTGTCATGAAATGGAGTGTGGTGGTGGAGGTGGTGAGGCAGGCGCTGGAGACCCATATATGGTGAATAATGAAATATTTAATGAAAACAAGTCCACAAAAATACAGAGTCCGCGGCCAGGCAGCACGGCTGAGCGGAAGCCAGGGCTCACACCGGTAGCAACTGGTCTTAAGGGCGGCACAAAACAAACGAGCGACAATCTGACAAAAGTACGACAAGGACCCGACGAGGAACAAAGGACACAGGAGGGACTAAATACACTGAGGGTAATCAAGGGAACAAGACACACCTGGGAACAATCAAGGGGAAGACAGGACAACGAGGAGACTCAGGACACAAACTCGGAATTAAAACACAGAAAAACACAGAACCTGACAGTACCCCCCCGCCCCCCCTTAAAGGGCGGCTACCAGACGCCCAAAAACAAAATTCAAAACCCAAAAACCAGGGTGGGCGGAGGGGCGACGGAGGAGGGCCAGAGTCCAGAAAACAAAAAACTACCCACAAAAGGTGGGCGGAAACACAAGGAGGGGCGAAGAGTCCAAAACTAAACAGAAAGTGGGCAGAGGCGTCGAGGGGGGTCCGGTGGGCGTCCTCGCGCCGCGGCAGACCCACAGGGGAGGCGGAGGGCGTCCTCGGGCCCGCGGCAGTATACCCCAGAGGGAAAGTCCGGAGGGAGCCCGCGGTGCCGAGGAACACTAGGGGGCACGGGAGGAGCACTAGGGGGCACGGGAGGAGCACTAGGGGACTCGGGAGGAGCACTAGGGGACTCGGGAGGAGCACTAGGGGACTCGGGAGGAGCACTAGGGGACTCGGGAGGAGCACTAGGGACTCGGGAGGAGCACTAGGGGACTCGGGAGGAGCACTAGGGGACTCGGGAGGAGCACTAGGGGACTCGGGAGGAGCACTAGGGGACTCGGGAGGAGCACTAGGGGACTCGGGAGGAGCACTAGGGGACTCGGGAGGAGCACTAGGGGACTCGGGAGGAGCACTAGGGGATTCGGGAGGAGCACTAGGGGACTCGGGAGGAGCACTAGGGGACTCGGGAGGAGCACTAGGGGACTCGGGAGGAGCACTAGGGGACTCGGGAGGAGCACTAGGGGACTCGGGAGGAGCACTAGGGATAGAGGCTGCCGGAGCAGCGGCACGAGGAGCAGAGTCCACGGAGGCCGGAGCGGAATCCGGCGGAGCAGGAGCCGAAGCCGGAGCGGGGTCCGGCGGAGCAGGAACGGCAGCCGGAGCGGGGTCCGGCGGAGCGGGAACGGCAGCCGGAGCGGGGTCCGGCGGAGCGGGAACGGCAGCCGGAGCGGGGTCCGGCGGAGCGGGAACGGCAGCCGGAGCGGGGTCCGGCGGAGCGGGAACGGCAGCCGGAGCGGGGTCCGGCGGAGCGGCACGAGGAGCTGAGGATGGAGCTGGGGCTGGGCTGCCGGAGCGGATGTCTGGCCTGGGAGGCAGAGGTTTAGCATCCCAGGCCGCAAAGGCTGTCCGGCGTATCTCCTCTGCCTCCCGCTGCAGCTCCACCAGCGCGGGGTGCGGGAGACGAGGAACCCAATAGTCCAATAGCAGACCCAGGCGTATCGCGAACCCTGGCCGTCTCAGGGCGAACGTGGACGTGCTCTTTGACTCCTCATACTCCTGGATAGTACGGAGTAGCTCCTCTAAACCCTCTGGGTCCATGCTGAATTCAGCTAGCCTCACCTTATTCTTGGTCGGGTCCTTCAGTCATGAAATGGAGTGTGGTGGTGGAGGTGGTGAGGCAGGCGCTGGAGACCCAGATATGGTGAATAACGAAATATTTAATGAAAACAAGTCCACAAAAATACAGAGTCCGCGGCCAGGCAGCACGGCTGAGCGGAAGCCAGGGCTCACACCGGTAGCAACTGGTCTTAAGGGCGGCACAAAACAAACGAGCGACAATCTGACAAAAGTACGACAAGGACCCGACGAGGAACAAAGGACACAGGAGGGACTAATACACTGAGGGTAATCAAGGGAACAAGACACACCTGGGAACAATCAAGGGGAAGACAGGACAACGAGGAGACTCAGGACACAGAAACTCGGAATTAAAACACAGAAAAACACAGAACCTGACAGCATTAAGGGAAGAACAAACAGTCAAAACAAGAAAAAGAACACTGAACAAGTTTTAATATACTTACTGACCGATCCTATCATTCAAAGAGGACATGTGTTTTATAGTGTAAACATTGTAAGCTAAAGATGATGAAATTGGTATCTGAATTATATTGAATTAAAGAGATTTTTCACTGTTTTTTTTCCACAATTTATGATTGAATGTGATTACTCAGTCATAATCTAAACCATGGTTTGGGATGCAGGATTTTTTTTTAGTCTTCTTGTGAAAACACAACCAAAAATATTCTCCATTTTACCATTGAGACAAACACAAATGTTGCGTTATTTAGACCACTCAAACCTGGTTTGAGGTAATCTTCACTGTTTTTCAATGCCGTAAAGATACTTAACAGTCTCAAAAACAAGTTTAAATAATTACATTTCTTATCAAATTCTTGGTAACAGAATAGTGATTTCATTCAAGCAAGAATCGCCGGAGGAAAACTATGAGCATCAGCACGGAATGGATTAGATCAAATTCATATTTTATAAAGTCAAAAGTGATTAGTAATCAATTTAAAAGAAGCAAAGACTGTAAATACATTTAATTTATGAACAGCAATGTTGCAGGAGTTATGAAAAGTACTTTGAAGTTATTTTGAGTAGCATCATTTATGAAAAAATGATGCTTCTCAAAACATCATTTGCAAAATGATGCAGAATTTGCAGAATCTTAAAATGCCGAGGAGGTAGTTGGACTAGGTCAGCTTTCTTGTTCATCTAAATCTTTCAGGAGCGGGTCACTCTTGCTTCCAGCACACCTCGTCTTAAGTGATGGCTGGATAACTGCCAAGTCAGCAATTTTCCACATTGTTGTGTCGATCACTAAATGACAAATATCCTCTTTTATTTAATCTTGAGTAAAATTCAAATTGTCTGGTAAACAGAACTTTGGGTTTTCATCAGCTGTAAGCCATCTTCATTCAAAGTGAAATGATTACTTTCTGTGTAATAAGCGTGCTTTTTTTTTTACCTCACTGAATTTAATTTAAATCAGATTTCCGATCATATTTTCTCCATGTGTCTTTTTTCTCACTGCTCAACGTGAAAACAAGTTATGTATATTCAAACTGATTTTCTGCTTTTGTTCTGTCATCTCTTTAGTGTTATCCTCATTTTCTGTGCGAGCCAATTATGTAACATTTAATGGTTTTTCGGGTCCACAAGGGGTCGTTGTGGTCGCATTGATAAACTTCGCTCAAATTGTTCAGTCTTTTTGTGACAACTTGACATTTTTAGATATATTTAACTCATGTGACATTTCTATTCGTATCCTAACAACAGTTTAGTAATTCAAAGAAATCCCCAGTGCAGGGGACGTTTCCTTTTTACTTTTGTTGCAAAATATCCCCTTAAAAGACGAAATAAGAAAAACAAAAAGAAAGCCATATTAGAGAATTATTTTTGCCCTCGTTTCCATTTCTTTGTGCAAAGTATTTATGCAATTTGAACAAAATTCGTTTGATAATTTGTACTATTTTATTTTGAAGTTTTTTTTATTACATCCTCGTTCTTTAACGTGTCCATCGCTCTACTAAAGACACGAGTCAACGTTACAAACTGATGTGATCAATCACTATTGATCCATAAATTCGTTTGCTTGTTTTAATCAGCACTGTGATGATTTCAAACATTTTTTTAAATTTATTTCTTTTTCATCTGGAAAGGAACAACAAGGGTTTACTTTATAAATGCCATACTTGGGCACCTTTTGAAAATCGGCATACATAAATATGACTTTTAAATTCAAAGCAGTCAAATTAAATTTAAATGATGACGCGAAATTCAATAATAATAATAATAATAATAATAATAATAATAATAATAATAATAATAATAATAATTTAGAACAGTAGTAACATTAATAGTATATTTTTTTAATAAAATGTCAACCATGTTAGGTACAATTAGGCATTTTACCTATTTTTTTTACTTTTATACTACAATGAATTAGATATGAGTGAAATAATGATACTACTACACATGAATAAATAATGTTCGATTTTCAGTTTCAGACGAATCAAATAAAATTTGTTAATGAAAACACAAGATATTTTTCAGAATTTCAGCTCATGATCCATAGTCATTTTACCAGATTGTCATTTTTGTTGCAAACATTTAAGACAAAATAAAACAATGCAAATACTGAGAAAGTATTTTGAACTAAATTGAATGTGAAATTTCAGACCTTTTTGCACATAAGGACACTTTAAGAAGAAAATAAAGCAGATTCAGCATTTGTGGACCAACTGATGCTGCAGTTTGCCTCAGCCACCTCACTGCTGCAGAAGTCCAGCTCTGAATGGAACATCAATTTATTCATTTTGTGTTGATTGGTCCTTCCGTCACACAATGCATATGCATCCTTGGGGACTGTAATCGTGTATCACGTGGACATGACCGAGAGAGTGCGTGGGGGGTTTGTTGGATAAGAAATTGTCATTTGTATTGACCAACAGTGCTGACCACTGCAGGGGAGCGAAAAGCAGCGATCAAGGAGAGAACAACAGTGGGGACTGGGACCGAACTGGCCCACAGGCATGGCAGAAGGTAAACCTGAACGTCGGGATGCTTTTTATTTTTTTTATTTTTTTGCAGAGTTTTATCTTTAAAGCGCGCTCGGAGTGGCTTATGGAGGGGCAGGGTTTGGTTGCATTGTTTGAAATGTTAATTGGGGTGTGAGGTAGTGGAAGTGGAGGTGGTGGTGGTGGTGGTGGAGATTCTTCAGCAAAAATTCTCCCCCTCCCCACTTCTCATTGTTGAGCAGAGGAGGGGGGGGATAGGTTGCCACCCCCCTTTTGTTTACCTCCCCTCTCCGGTTTTCCCTCTCGCTGCGCAGCTTCTGCTTTTCGCAGCATTTTGCATGAAAGTGGCAATCTGTGCGGATTACCCAGCTTGAGGGCTACAAATAAAAAAAGGGAAAAAAGAAAGAAAATATTGTATCTTGGGTGCTACTTTTTGACTCAAGGCTGAGGCAGAAGACATGGGTTCCGTTTCTAACCAGGAGTTCCCAGGTGGAGTAAACTTCATGAGCAGCATGTTAATCTTCCGAGTTAATTAAGCTGTTTTCGGATCGACTGTCTCACTGATTGTAAAGGAGCGTTTTAAGGCATTGTTCGCACACGTGACGAGCATTGCACTCAAATTCGACCCTTTAAATAGTTGCATTTTCTGAAAGTTTTGCGCACATTTGAATGCAAGTTTTACGCATGTCTTTTTTTAAAGTTTTGCGCACGTTTCTTGAACAATACTGTGCAACTGGAGGTTTTTAAATCGAAAATGCATACTGAAGCCTCAGCATGGCGTGCTAAGTCATTGATTCATATCGATTACTGATCCGCAGAAATTAACATTTTTAAATGTACAAATTTCCCTTTTTGTTAGTTAAAGCGAGGCGAGTTCTTTTTCTTTCCCTTTGTAATCTTTATATTTGGAACTTAAGAGTGAACAAATGTTGAATTTGCAGGAGTGTGCAAGACGGAGGGAGATGAGGGACCGAGCACAGAGGAAGACACGCAGTCCTTCCATGGGGCCGGGGTGTGCAAGTGGTTCAACGTCCGCATGGGCTTCGGGTTCCTGTCCATGACCAACAGAGAGGGAATGCCGCTGGACGAACCGGTTGATGTGTTTGTCCATCAGGTAGGTCTGGCAGCTCTTCCCGCAGAATCCCAACAAAGAAGTCCCAGACTCCTCTTTTCTTTTTGTCTGATCATTTTTAGCCAATTGATCACTCCTTATTTCTCACTCGTTACTCGTTTCTAATTTAACACGATTTTAAGCGTCTTAGTTTTTGTTCTTTTAAGTTCTTGCAGCAATTGATTGTAGAGTTTTGAAAAGAGAAGTTTAGATGGACTGATTGCAAAATTGACTTGCCTTTGCAGACTAACATGCGGTTGATCAAAAGTAGAATGAAAAGACTAATTTACTTGATTTAGATGGATGGTTGTTGTAAGGTGTGGAGTTTTTTTTTTTAAGAAAAAAATTGTTTTGTAATATTAGGACATCTCTCGATTTTCTATAGTTACATTTTTGGAACAGGAAGAAGAAAAAAAAAACCTCGATGGAATCACAAGAGGCACAGGGGCGGATTTAACAGAATGTGGGTTTCTGGGCTGCAGTTTTGGTGCCCTACTCACACAAGTTTCAGTTCAGGTGATTTGTACTGATCCTAATAACGACCAGCAATTTATAGGTCTAAAAGATTCACTTTACATCCATGAATATATTTGGAAATTAGTCTAACTATCAGGGTGACATATGGGAATTCATGCATGTGCAAAATTCTTTGTGAACATTTTTACTGAATTGGTCCCAATGCTGGTGCTAGTCAGTTATTAACTGATTCTTTAAAAAAAAGGGGGTTGCTTTTTTTTACGAACCGGTTGATGTGTTTGTCCATCAGGTAGGTCTTGATGGACAGACTTGCTATCTGAGCCTATTTTATGTTTTATTTCAATGTTGAGGATGGTAGGGCAGAAAGTTTGACTACACAAAACAGATTATTCATTCCTGTAACCTGTTGACTCCTTATTGCTGCTATAATTTATTGACACTGTTTTTCTTTTAAACAAAAGAGGGTTGTTTGTGAACACAATCCTAATCAATGTATCACTAGTACCAGCAGCATAAAACATGGGATAAGAGCAATATTTACAGCATGCTTTACATAATACGATGTTAAAGAAACTATTTGGTAATGACATTTATCAAATCAGTGGAAAACATCAGCGTGAATGCATGTCAGAAATCTACTTTAGCTCATTGATGAGTGATATAAAAACAAACAGTGGTAAGATTGATTATCTTGAGATGATGTGTGACTTGGTTCTATATAAATGAACTGAACTGAAATTGATTGTGTTTCTCCAATATCAATGTAAAAAAAAATTCTGAATAATGTTGCTTCGTATTATTTTTAATTGGATTAATGCAAAAACGAAGCCCTGGAGTTTTAAACATGGTGCCTTTTGATTGGCTGCTGGTCTCCATGAGTCTTAATCTAGCTTCTTCTGTCCCAACTCAGACTTAGTACTGTAAAAGATCATTTATTTGTGTCAGTTTATCAGGAGTAGCAGGGACTGATGCCAAGCAAGAATCAAACATCAGCTTAGCAGCAAAACCGGTTTGGTGGAGTAGTAAAATTGTGCACAAAATTAAACACATCACATCATTCCCAATGAGAAACAGGATGGTAGCATTATTATGCTGTGGAGATGCTTTTATTCAACGTGGACAGGGAAGCCGGTTTGAGTTGATGAGAAGATAGTTTTAGGGAAAAGCTGGAAAATCTTGGAAGAAAACTCGCTAGAGGCTGAAAAATATTGGGGCAGGAAAACAAGCCTTCACACAACTAAAGCTGTAATAGAATGGTGTGCATCAAAGTGTGTGTTAGAATGGTTTGATCAAATTTCTATTTGATCTTAATTATAATACAGTTAAAGTCAGTTAATCATATAATGTTAGGCTAAGTAGCTGGGCCGATTGCATTGAGACTTTACAGAAACAGAGCAAGAGTGGAAATTAATGGTATTAAATAGAGGATACCCTCTAGCTCATTATTATCACCATCCATCTGTTACAACTGGATTGTGAAAGAGACTGAACACACATTAGGCAGAGACAATGGTTCAAAGTTACTTTTTATCTTTTTCTTTAGGTGTCTTTTACTCATGCAAAGTACAGTAGGTTGATAGTTAGATTAAATGTTTTTTGTCCTTGTCCACAAGTGATTTTTAGTCATTGTATTTTTTTTTTTTGTTTTTACGTATGAGATTATATCCAGAAAAGTCAGGAAATATCATCCAAAAGTGTGCAACTGGCCTTGTCAGGCCTATTTGTGGCAATGTGATGAATTCACTTAAATACACTAAACACGAAGACAAATTGAGCTTTTGCTAAAAGCAGCTTCAGGTGAATTCCACTTTTCAAACCCAAATTTTTTTATTTTTGTCCAATACTAGAATATAGCATATGCATGTAGTTTAAGCATTGCTAATCAGAAGCTATTTTACAAAGATAAAAGATTATAAAAAGGCTAAAATACTACATATAATTTAAATGCATAATCTGAAACTCCCATTTCCATTTTCTGATACCTGTTTGGGTTAGCTGGTTGCAAAAATATGATCAATTATGGCCAGTCTGTCCTGCTGGTAGACTCAGTTTCCCTTTAGTGGATTACAAGTAAAATCTAAAAATGAATTAAATCATTGGTTGTAAAAGTACATAGTTGACCAGGGGGAAAAAACAAATTTACTAACACCTGTGCCTCCAATTTGTACCCCAAAAAGTCAGGTAACAAACAACCAAAGGGGTGAAATGTCCAAGTTGAGGTCAAAAGTTTTAGTTTGTGAGATACCGGTTTTCAAATAGTTGCATAGTAATTATCGGCAGAAAAATCTAACAACTAAAACCACACAGACACCTCTGGAATACTGTCAACATAAAATCCACTTATTTAAAATTTTATTTTTTGAGGTACAAAACTTTGAGTACTTTCCCAGTAAGCCCTTGCATACGTCTGGCCTGACTTAAATCCCTGTTTTAAGCTACTTTGTTGTAGTAGCTTACAACAAAGCTACTAAGCTGCACAAAAAAGAAGAACAAATAAAAATCTTTTATCATCCTCCAGAAATGTGTGCACATATTTATGGCAAGAAAAACTAAATAATCTTTTTATATATATCATTTAAGACAGTGCCTTTCTTCTGAATTGAATAATGGTTGGCCGATTAGATTTGTGATCCACGAAATACCTTAAATAAACTGTTAAATATTACTACTTTTTCCTGTTATACTCTTTTCTCTCTGACATGATTATAAAAGTTAAGACAACTACTTTAAACTTTGTCAGCAACAAGTTTCTGCCTTGGTCTCATCTGTGAGAGACCATCTCCATCTTCTGTCTGATAAGACGACGTTTAGCATGTGAATGAGAGGAATCCCTACAAGCTGCTCATTCACCTCAGAGTTCCTGTCATAAAATGATTAAAGGGTCTCTGCTGTCTGGTCAACCCGTCCACCCTCCTCCCTGTGCCTGTGTGTGTGTTGGCAGTATAGAGGTACACTACAATTTATTGCTAAACCCTTCTTTGAAAAGGACTATTTTTAGGTGCCTTTTCTTGTTTATGCACCAACAATCTATCTTGGCTTTGAAAACAGCCATTTGCATGAAGTTTGCATGATTTCACATGCAGCCCCTGTTTCAGTCTTACTACCATCTGACCATGATGACGCTTGTAGAATTATAGTTGTGAGTTTTAAATGAAGGCTACAGGAAGCTGGATATTTCATTACTGATACTCTTAAACAACAAATGATAGGAACCTGCTGTTTAGATCTCCAGTAGTTAGAGAGTAAAGTCATTTGAAGTGGCATTAATATATTATTCTGCAAAGTTTCCATTTGTGAGCACCCAATTCTTTATCAATTCCCATTTATAAGCTTTGGCTTTTCTAATTTAATCTACTTCTACCTTCAGAGACTGATAAAAGAATTAATAGCACAAAGATTCAACCTTTTAAAAGTCAAATACTTTATATTGGATTGTTTTAAATGAAACGATGCCTGGATTTCTTTTTTTATTATTATTGTATCATAATTGATACATTTGGCTTTTTGTTATCATCATGTATTGTGTCCTCAGCAAACAAAATGACATGGATTGCATGTTTTTAATAGCATAAACCTAATACAAAAACAATTGATGCACGGGCCCCTATTCCCTTCTAAAGAACTTATAATTTTTATTATACCTCATTATGAAAGACTATTTTCACTGATAATCCATTTTTGAAGTATTTTATTTCCTTGTAAGCATTTGAAAGGGCCTTTAACTCCACAAAAACTTCTTCTTAAATGATGTTTGTGTCCATTGGACACAATTGTGTCCATTATTTATAGAGTAGAAGACAAATGTAGGATGCAACAGAGCAATTTTTTGAAAGCCGTAGAAACTTTGTTCAAGAGGCAGAGTTCACAGAAACATCTGTATCAGAATTTATGCATTTGATCTAATGGAGTTAAGTCTCACACTGAATGGCAAGATTAAAAGAAATTAGATATTTAAGATGGAATTAAATCTTTTTCTGCAAACTTTACTCTGGTTGAGTTTTTTTTTAAAATGGTACCTCATCTCACATCAGCTTCTGCTAACTGGCTTTTAAAATGGTGACCTTGTTTCTATGAACCATAGCTTTTAAAAGCAGGATATAAAAAATAAGAAAATGCAGCCGTAAAAATTTGAACAGGTTATATAAGTAATACATAGATTTTCATCACAATTTTTAAAAAAATATCTATTGTTGTTTCAGTTAAGTCACATCTGGCCATCTTGGACATTGGTCATCAATAAGAAGCTAGAAGATGAGAATGGAATGCGATACAGCAGGAAAGGCAAAGTGAAAGCATTTTAAAGAGGCAGAAGCCTCAGTAATGACACACAAAAATATGGTGTTTATAAGGTTAATAAGCCCTAAATAAAAAAAATAGCCTCCTGAGTTAAACATAGGTTTGTGAGTTTCATTGATCAAAAAAGTAGTAATGTTTACTTTTTTCATTAGAGAAAATTGATGCAGAGAATCTGACAAACAGTAAAGCCAAGCATCCTAAAATTAGTGGCCACGCGTCAAGGAAAAATTAAGTCCCACGGTTCGCTGGCCTTTGTGCTGGTGCACAATAGAGCCATGCATCCGAATCAAGCACCCCTCAGCCATGCCCCGAGCCCCTCTTTGTCCCAGCAGAAGTCTTTCTATTGTCCCTCTCCACTCTGATGTCTTTCTTTGCCTTGCTTCGCTTCCAGACATATTCTAATGTAGTTTACTCTAGACCCCACAAATAGCACCTCCACATCAGGTCCTTGAAGGATAAAAAGAAAAGAAGAACCTCCCCATCCTGAGGCTTTACCTGTGTGAGAGTGGCCATGTGGTAGGTTGAGGGTGAGTTATGGGGGTGGGGATGTTCACACGTTTGAGAGAGGAAGTGGATGAACAGTCACCGGGTGAAGAGTGGTATTGGGACGTCCATGTTGCCAATCAGATGTCTTTTGTCACAAATGGTGTTCAAAATGTAAAATATTATCCAGACCATGCTTGTTTTTCAAATGTGTCAGAGTGGGGGGTTTGCAGTTCACCGACACCTCTGATTGTCTTTTTCAAGAGGAGCGTTTAAAGATTTAATCCTTGTTTTCTTAGAAGCCCATTTCCAAAATGACTCCCATTACAATGAATTGAATGTTTTGTAGGGTTCCAGTGAGTTTTGACCTACAAAGAATCCAGACGTTTAGTTATAATACACAAAAGGATGAAGCTTTGCTCCAAAATAAAATCAAAGAGACAGGATTACTGTTTTATCAAAGCAGATTTGCTAAATTACAGCTAGATGTTCTTATGTCAACAGTTTGCAGTCTGCGTGACAATATAATCTTACAATCCCACCTACGGATTTGTTTTTTGAGGGGCTTCCCATGATGTGTTAACCAGTCTGAGGTATTTATCCACAAACCTGTGCCACACCTTTTCTGTTTTATCTTTTCTGCATTTGTTTTGGAGATGGAAATGTTCTTTGCACATGTTAAGGAGAGGACTCTTTTCTCTTCAGGTGACTGTGGCATCAATAAAAAGGCAGTTAAACATTCAAGCCTGCAGGCCCATTGTTTATTAAGTAAGCAGATCCACCTAATGTCATCAAACCTGTAACAAAGTGAAGTTATCAGCTCCTTCTCACAAAGATATTGAGTGAAAACGATGCTATCAAGGTGAGATATTAGTCATTTGTGCTCCTTGTCAGTTTATATCTTTTCACATCTTTCTGCCAAACAACTATCCGAGGAATGTCACCCTGACCCCCAGCCTTCACAGAGAGATGCCTTGCTTGCCGTGTCACCCCACCCCCAACGCGAGCACCAACCCCTGCATCCTGTAGTTTAGGGTTAGTGGTGGTGGTCAGTGTGTTAGTGGAGCTTTGTGATGTGGGTGGGAAAAAAGGTGGGGGTGGGGGCGGCTGTGTGGAATGCTGCTCCTCCGGTGAGGATGGGGGATGAGGAAGAGTGGAGGGGTGGGGAGTGATTGAAGATTATCCTCGTCAGGTTTTTTTCTCCTAAATGCAGAAAAATAATATGAAAATTCAGTATTGGGTCACCATCACTTATGTAGTGTATGGTGATGTGAAAACTAGCTGTGGAGAAGGAATGATGAGCTTTGTATGGCTTGCTTATCTGGTTATAGGCATAAAATGCCAGATACTTGATAAGATCAGTTGGGTTCTGGGATAAATGTTTGGTGGTCAGAATTTCTACAAGCCAATGGTAGCTGTGATCTAGTCAATAGGGGCAAAATCACCTTCATTTTTTCCCATACAAGATAGAAGGGGTGCTTGAAGAGAATCAAGCACCCCTTCTATGAGATTTACAGTGAGATAAATGATTTCCACATTTGGTGTTTCCAAAACACTTTAACAAGAGGTTAAAGTTGAATGAGCTCCTGCTTTGTTGCCTTTCAGAGCAAGCTGCATATGGAAGGTTTCCGCAGCCTGAAGGAAGGCGAAGCGGTCGAATTTACCTACAAGAAGTCATCGAAGGGCCTCGAGTCACAGCGGGTTACTGGACCGGGCGGCATCCACTGTGTGGGCAGCGAGCGGAGACCCAAAGGCAAAAAGGTCCAAAAGCGCCGCTCAAAGGGAGACAGGTATGTACTGGCAAACTGGGAGGTTTTAACACAACAGAGATTTTAACTATTTCAAGGTTTTTGAATAAAAGAGAGTGAGGTAATTTGAAAAAAACAAAACAAAAAAAATCAAACCTCAGAAATGGATAATATGACCCAAAAGGGAGGGTTTTAAAGATTGTGCACAGGAAAAGAAATATTCCTAAATACTATGCCTGGAAATATCAGTGACAATATCAATCACAACACACATTTTCAGACTTTCTTGATTATTTCTGTGTGCTGACGTTCTTAGCCAGTAAAAATACACATTGAGTGTTGACATTAATGACTAATATCCTGTTGATCACGTATATTATTAATTGGCAGAGCCTTAATCTCTTGCTCTCGAAATATAATACTTTGTCAAAGCAGTGCATTAAAACTGCAATATTTCACACAATAAGGCAAAAATGATTGAACATCCTTTTATTGTAGTTTCCTAGTTTTAACTCTTTATTACCTGAAGGAACAGATATCAAAATGTATCTACATTTTATAAATTGGGTTGTACATTCAATACTTTGGACAATTTTTAAAAAAAACCCTGTTAAGTTAAGTAATGAGACATACAGATTTTCTGTGAAACATTTAGTCTTTTTGCAGTGAGTAATTACTTCATGTGTCCTAATCTTGGAAGAATTTCATTGAAGACAAAAACTGGCAAAGGACAAAATAGTCTTTTGAACTAAGAGTCGAATACAATTGTGTTGCTTGTGACTTTTTTGTGTGTTCTGCTTGGATCTGATGTACAATGGTGTTGTAGTTCCTCTTCACTTTTGTGCCTTTCCCTGGATCCCAACCCCCCACTTTGAGCTCTACCGAGGGTCACATCAGCAGGGCCTGATGTGTGACCTGGATCAATAACTGTTTAAATCTGCTCGTCCCTGGTGAATTCAGATCTGCCCACTTTCTCCCTCTTCCTACCAACCCTCCTCAATGGACAGAAGTTTTCCTCTAAATCCAAAATTAATCATGCAAAGACAGACTCTAGATTTCCCTTTTACTTTTCTCAAGATAAGATGCAAGTTTGTTGATTACTGTAGGTGATTTTGTTTGGATATAACATGATGCCCACATGGAGAGGTACCCAATAATCCAGCAAACAATTCACACAGCGTAACTTTATCCAAATCCATGTTTTGAGTGTAAAAGAAAAGATTTAATCTAACTGGTGCAAAGGGAGAAATGGCATAAAGAGATTCATTCACAAAGCCGGAATTAAAATGTAACTTTATCTTAAGATCCACAGATGGACGACATCTTTGGATCTTATCAGGAGAAATGAAAGGACCTAAAGAGATCAGTGTTTGCAGATCACTCTGAGCGTCAGTATGATGCAAGGTTAGAGGTGTATCAACTTCACCACATGTCAGTTGTGATTACAACCAGAGCGAAGTGAGTGTGAGAACAGAGATCATTATGGCCTCAAAGAGTCCTGGGAGGCCATCGTGGTTCAATACTTCTCCACAGACCTCTCTGATTCGTGAATAAGGTGCGTTTTCTCTTCATCACTTTGTGTTATGCAACACTGGATTGGACTTCATGGATAGGGATGTGGTTAACTGATGACTTTTTATTTAAAAAAGTAAATATTTGTATATAAATTAGAAGCACTGTGAAGCAGTTCTGACTTATCTAATTTAGAGAGAGTTGCTGTATTGGCTTGGTTCAGATCATTGATAAACTCACATATCTATCACTTTGCAAAGGAGAAAAGTTCCTGTTCATTTAATTGATAACAGATGCAGCAGCCCAGGCAAGGGGCGTTAAGGGTCATAGTTGTCATAGCAACCGCGTATGAATAAAAGGAAGAGGGCTGGGGGCTTGGATGGGATTGGAGGGAGGTTGGAGGTCAGGGTTCAGAGGTCATTACTGCAGCTTTTTTAGACAAAGGGACCACTTCCACTTTCCTCCTGATGGATGCTGATGTGAGGAGCCTCTGTGATGGCGATGGTATAGACCTTGACACCACTCAAACAGCCAGGGCCACAAAGCCAACCTGACCCCTAGGCAGCCGCACCGTCCAAACCTCATCTGCTGCCACAAAGGTGGCCGGGGGGATCCAGGGAGGTACCGAGTAACTGCCCCACGCCCACCACCCATCTGTCTTCCACCCCTGTACGCGTGGCCATTCTATAAATGATGTCCAAACAGCGGTGGCCGATGGTAGCCTGATGCCTTCAGCTGACCCCCATGCATAGAGTCTAACTAAAGTTCAATGGTGATGACACTTGTGCCACACTTTGATTGAACTGGCCCCAACTGGAATCTTCTCTCAGTGACAAGCTAACAAATAGTTGTACAAACTGTGCAACTAAAGAAAAGCCTCCAGTAACTTCACCAATCTGCTTACTAAAATATTGCCTTTAATTGCAATTGTTTCCTAACCTGGGATTATTTCAGTGACAAACAGTTTTGAAATGTTCTTAAGTCTTGCTCTCCTCATGAAGTTCTGCACCATCCCCTCAAATGCACCTTAAATTGGTGAGTTATGTAAAAATTGAAGCTAGGGTTTCACAGGTGGAACATTGCCATCTAGAGGCGGAAATGTATAATTTAGAATCCTTGAGTCAAAAACAGGCCTAAGTTAGTTTATTAAAATGCTTCTCCAACAAGGTTTACATATTTTTTGACTCAATTAAAACTTTTTCTTAGTAAAGTAGAACATTTGGGAAATATTTTAAAGGAAATATGATAGACTGCAAATTGTGATGTTTTTGGTAAAACAAACAAATAGAAAAAAGTAAGGTGTCTCTTTGATGTGTCTGTGATTAATATTGCATCATTTATTGCAATAAAATATCACATTAATAGCAACTTTGAGATATGTTAATTTGGCCCTGATACTGGTGAAATTAGTTTATGGTACTGTTTGAATGACTGAAATATTGTTGTTTTGTGGCCAAAAATCTGCTTTTACAAAGATAAAGGCCCAAATACACATCCCGCTTCATATTTCTTTTTCCATTTTTTTCCATTTACAACCACAAACATTAACCACAAAATTTTATGTACTTGGATTTGTTATAATAGTTACAGTTGAAGGAACAAGATACATTTGTTTTTTCATCTGAAAATCTGAAAAATGCAAAGTGTACCACTGTTGATCCAGGTTTAGTCTGATATGCTTAAATAAAATCCAGTGCACAATTACAATTTCTTGTAAGTTTAATTACAGCTGTTCTGCACAGGTATAAATGGCATGATGAAGGTCAGGGATAATGTCGAGACGTTTAACCTAAGAGAGATATAAAAACAATATCCCAAACTTGGTGCATCTCAGTGAGTGTTTACTGCCCAACCCATGATACAAAAACAGAAAGAGAATGCTACTCCTGCAAAACTACCAAGACATGGACCTCCAACCAAACAAATGGAGCTGACAAGGAGAAGCTGTGAAGGTGCTGTTGCAGAGATCCACAGCTAACCCAACATGCAAAGTCCTTACATGTCATGATGCTGTAAATCCAACAAAAAGTTATGACATGTTTCATAACTTACAGTGTCCATACTTTATCAAAACAGCAATTTCATTCCATTGGATGCTCACAATCTGTCCTTTCTCAGGTTTCTGTCAAAAGTAAAAGTCATGCATTTTCTTGTAGATGTTATAACTGCGGAGGCCTGGATCATCACGCCAAAGAGTGCAAGTTACCACCCCAGCCCAAGAGGTGCCACTTCTGCCAGAGCATCGACCACATGGTCGCCAGCTGTCCAGTAAAAGCACAACAATCTTCACCGGTTTCTCAGGGAAAACCGTCCCCCTTGAAAGAAGATGAGGGGGAACACAGCCAGCCGGCGCCACCTCCTGAAACCTCTGATTAAACGGAGATTGAGCCCCGCCGAAGCACAGAAGCCAATCAAATTGCTCCGATGGTTGAGAGAGGAGACACAATTCTCCTCCCTAGCTGTTGAAGCTGCTTTTGGAATTACCTCAGGTTAAAAACACTCATGAAGAATATTTTCTTTATTATTTTTTATTTGGTGTAACACTCAGGAATAATGCTTCACTGTTGCACTCAGGAAGTTTAAATGTATGAATCCTTGCTACCAGAAAAAGTAATCCAAAAACATTGGAATACATAGAGATAATACTGAATGGTGTTCACAGGCATTTGCAGACTTCTTTTGTGTGACTGCACTTTCCTTGTGAGCTTCATTAATCAATTTCATTTGCATCGTACTCAGTGTGTTGAGAATAGACCTTAACTATTGCTGCCTTACTATTCAGTATCCTTCCTGATTGTTACACCTTTCTGTCGACAAAGCACAGATGTACCGGACAGTGTCTCTGTGATGAATGTTAGCTAATGGGTTGTGTGGGGAGGGAGGAATGGGGTGGCGATCTGGAAAGAAAAAAAAAACACACAAAACGGGTTTAAGGGTATAGGTATAGGCAATGCACTGTTGTAAGATTTGCCAATATTGCTGTTGACCATCCAGATTTCTGGGGCCAAATGAATGTCAGACCAAAAAGTGTTTTCTGGGTTTTGGTCAATTATTTTATTTTATAATTAGCTTTTTTTTTTTTTTTTTTTTTTTTTTTTTTTTACCTTTTTGTACTCAGCATTTTGCTGGCTGTTCTGGTCTACCTCACTAGTGCATGTTAGGTCTGATGTTTATAGATATCTGATTTTAGGTGGGATTAAATCAAATCATTTTTGCACTACAGAATGTATACAAGATGAAAACCATCCATCACATACCACCTTAAAGAGTAACTCATCAACCTGACCTGCAGCGATTCAGTTTCACACTCTGCTGCACTGTACGCGTGTACTTTAAGACCTGAGAAATTAAAACCGTCTTGTGGTTGTTGGGTAAAACCATGTGGTCAACAGACTTCTGAAGCACTCTTTTCATTTCAGCCAAATCTTGACAGCACAAAACCAATACTTTCACCTCATCAGAGACTCAATCTGTTGCTTTGTTTCCTGTCACAATGTCCAAATATCAGAAGCTCGCAGAAAAGTCCCCGGTGTCCTGACAATGTTTAAAATTATGTGAGTATTCTGAGTTTAAAGCTCCAGGGTAAAGTTAAGGACACGCAATTTGGTTCTGTGATGAATCATTTTTCACTTTTAGTTATGCAAACACCATCATCTCTTATGAATGAACCACAAATATCCCCGAAAGGTCTTAATGTCAATTATTTAATTCAGAATTTGAAACTCGTTAAATATTCATTATACACAGAGTTTCAATAATTTCAAGTGTTCTATTTCTTTTAATATTGAAAACAATTAAGTTTTTGACAAACTTAGAATATTACAAGATAATTATTCAAAAACAATATAAAGTAGAGAAACACCTGCTAAACTACGCACCACAGGCATATTTTTATCGGTTCTGGGCTCCTTTTAAATTACTGTATAAATGCAGCGTGGCATGGAGGTGATTGGTGCTACAGAAAGGTTCAGGATGTCTAGCTTGGTTTAGAAGCAACTTTCAACTCATTTGCAATGGTGGGTCTGGAGTCTCATCTTCCCCTCGGCAGCTCCCATTAACGTTTTGACCAGGTTTAGATCAGACAAGCATATTGAGCAGAGTAGCACACTGACTTTGTTGAGGACACCAGTGATTGTCTTCTAGAGACCTGGCAAGTCAGCTGTCTTTTCCATTGTTGTTTAAGCCATAACATTTCTATACTTAACTAGTATTATGTAATATAGTAATTTTCCTCAAGGTGATAAGTTTTGGGCATTTATTGATTCAGTATCATCAAATTGAACAGAAAAATATGTGTTTAATACCTCTGTGCGTAATGAAGCTAAATAATTTTCACTTTTTAAATTATTGATGTAATTTTTCGGTTGTTTTCGCATTTGAGATGCACCTGTACATTCTTGCAAATCAATCAATAATAGGCTAATGCCTGGCCTACAGGGGGCAGCACAATGACGCTGTTTGGCTTGAATTCAGTTGGTCTTCATTTCTGGGTTTTCTTAGACACTTTCATCTCTCTTTGAACATTATTCTGTCTTTACTGGCTGATCTGTAAAAGTCTGTTGCTTTATGAAAATTTTAAGTTGGATTTGACTGAATTTTCTCAGGGTTGAAATATACGTACATAGCATAAATATTTGAGCTTCTACTGAGTTACTGAGGGGTCCAGCTTTACTCTGGATGCTTAAATTTAAGAACAGAAACGAGGCAAAAATCTGACATGATGTTTCTTGTGAGCTAGCTGCTGCTGTTATTTTTTATGTCCAGTTTGATCTATTTCTAGGAAGATATTTAAGGCACTGTGTAGGCTTTTGACTTAGGAGCACCCAGTCTGCAAGGAGAAGCATGTAGACCTAGCTAGTCAAACAGCATATTACTCCCATTTTACAGGAGATGCTGACTGATACTTTAACACCCAATTAATATATATGTAAAATTATTTTTAAGAAATGCATTCTACTTATTTATTTTCATCCGAAAGCAGCGCATCTTCTCCCTGTGCTCCTTTTGAAGCCTGTCAGCAATGAATGTTTCAGTAGAGATCATCATATAAAACACAAATGGGTCGGTGAAAGCTTGAAGAAGATCTGGTTTACAATCTTAACATCATGGTATTCTTGCTGCTGTGTACATATCTGCTTGAAAGATCATTCCGTTAATTTAATTTGGCCTGAATGCAAGGTAACAGTACTATATTGCAACATAAGAATATGAATATGCAAAACGTACTGTGCAGGTACATAGAATGAAGACTGATCTAAACTGTGAGGATTTTCTTTTCCTTGTTTATCCTTCTTCTTTTTTTTTTTTTTTTTTTTAGTATATTATTTTTTATGCGCAATGAGCCTTTTAGGAGAAAAGCTCATTGATATTCCTATCTATGCCAAACCCAATGCAATGCCACTCTGCTCTAATCATGTGTAAGATGCATTAATATGTTTTCTATATTTCATTTTTGTTGCGCCTGGATATGTTTAATGTTTTTATATAAGATTTTAATGTTTTTACATGCTATAGAAAATACCTCCTCTTAAGCTCACCTCAGGAATTGCTAATCTGAAAACTCAGGGATGGTTTTAGATTAAATTTGAGGAGTCAGTGTTCATTCCAGAACAAGCATGGATTAAATGCTCAATTAACAAAATGTGAAAAATGTAACAAAGAAGCCAAACTACTGAAAATGGCTTTGTGAGAGTCTTGATGCTTATTTTGTCTTTTTAAACATGGTGAAAATTTATTGGCAATTTCTTTTTTAACTTTTGGTCAGGAAAGCAATCTTGCCCTAACATTGTATATCAACACAGATTAATGGTGTTTTTTACATCTCCTTTGCCTAATATGAAGAAAGTGTTCCACTATTATTGTATTCTTTTCTCTGTAATGGTTGTAGATTGGGATAAAAGTAGGATATTTTTAAGGGACTGGGGCTAGTAGTATATAATCGTTGTCTCATCTCAACGTGTTGATAATTGGTGTTTCAGACTATCAATGCTTATGACAAAAAGAATGTGCCACAAATGACTTAACACACAAATGACTTCTTTTATTCCAAGTGGATTTTCCACAAGTTCAGAATGTGTGACGTTAAATCATTCAAAAGTTTGATTTAGTTGTTGAATTATTTCACTCAAGAATTATTGGAATGCAAAACCTTATATTAAGTGAATATTGTTCATTTATAGTGTCAGTATATACGTCAGTTTTAAGAATTTACTCTTTTCCTTATTTGTCACCTATCTGAGCACTGACAACTTCATTTGTTAAACTGACTTAGGCAATGTTTACATGTAATTCTCAAATTTGGAGTAAGTTAAACTGCTATGATGGGTTAGGGATTAATTAGTTGTACTGTGCTATCTCTAATTATAACATTGGAACTCAGAATGTATAAAAACCTACAAATTTATTGTCAAGAACTTGGTTCCTTTAAAGTGCAACAGCTTGTATGACTAGCCCAGGGTAACATTTGAAGCAGATCAAGGCGTTTTAATAGTTTTTCTTTTTGTACTCATGTTGTTTTTGACCATCAGTCAGTTCATTTGTGGTGTTATTGTATTTTATAAGACATATTTCTACAGGGCTATGTCAGAAAAATGTGCATTTACTATTAATGAATGTATTAGTATTTACTGTCATAAAACTTACAATAATCTTTAACTCAGGAAATTTAATGATTATAGTCTGTCAGTGATGAGCAGCATGTGAGATTTTCAAAGTAGTTTCTATATGTAAAATGTTGCTTCATTTCATAATAAACTTGTCAATATTGTTTTTTTCCAGCTTTTTATTTTAAAAATATATTTTGTCAAGAGTGCTGTTTTGTTACTTCTGAAGTCAACTCAGTCACTACAATCAAAAGCAATGTATTTATTATGCTATTACATATTCTGTCTACCTCTTGTATACTTATTTATTTTTGACCAGGAAAGAATCAGAGATTTAAATTTTCACAATAGTGCTGACAATATAAAAGCAGCTCACAATGCAGCTGAAATATAACACTCAGAGTTGACACAGTAAAGAACATATAAAGGTTTTTCATTTGCAAACTTATCAATTTATATACAAATGTTTTACAATGTTGAAAGTTTGTGGTATGACTTCAACTCATTCTGCAGCGTATTCTATAAAGTGTAATATCTGAAGGCTTAAGCACAAGCTTCTTGGTGCATGTAATAGGAATAACCTGAAACTAATGCACTTTTGAGGAAGTAGGATTTTTAGTATGAAGGAAGAAAAACATAAACATTCAACATAAGAATACAACAAATTGGTTGATTGTACCAAGTGTATTTTGGCACTATGGACATACAGGACACCTGATACATAAATGTAGCATATATACAAATCGTTCACCAGCTCTTTGTCATAATGAAAAT